GCATCCAGAAAAGGTCTCTAAGGAAATGTGTGCTCAAGCGAAACCACCTTGTCGCAGGAATAATGTACGACGGGAATTTCTGATGCTGATAAGCATGTGTGAATACAGGATCTGATGGAATACCAAGCCAGCCAAAATGAAGGCATAATCAAAATGTCGACGAAGTCCACGTCTCATTAGGTTTACGCTACGGTAGCTCCGTATAGTATATCGCAGTTTGCCTACTGCCCCACTCCTCTCTAGTTCGGTTCCCCGCCGCTGCGTCACATACTCAGAGAGAGACGCTTTGTGTCCAGAAGCGAATTTGACAGGCTGTTTACTTTTCCACTGGTCAAGCCGCTTCCAGAGTGGAAGCCACTTGTTCAACCCATCGAGATACAGTATGTGACTCATCGCACTGCTGTCCGGCAGTCGCCGGGCAGACGAGTGATAAACAAAATTTTTATCTACTGCATTAATATTCTGTGCTAGCTATCAATAATGCGCTGCTTTCATGGATATTGTTTAACAGTTTTCGATTAGGGTCTTCGGTTACGGGCATTAAACGCTGAGAGTTTAAAATTCAAATATAACAAAAGTTTTCTTTAAATTTTGAAAACTGAAAAGTCAGTTTAAATAATACGGTAAAAACAGTGCTTTTATACGGTGCCTTTACCGTCGCTATAGCAGATTACTAGTAAACCCAATAACGCAGATCGAAGATTTGAATGTTCATTTTAAAATAAAGAATGTTAATAGGTGATCTTCCGTATTAATAGTCCGTTTTTAATTTAAATCTATGGTAGCCGTTATTTTGGCCTGTCTCACAAAAAAAATTTATTGAATTCCGTGGTGCGAAACCGGGTCGCTTTCACGATGCAACAATGATGAACAAAAGTGTGTCGTTTCGGATGGTCGCCGTAACAATTGTCAAACATTACCAGAGTGAAAGAAAAGAAACCCCTAACGAAGTTGACATCTTTAATTGCTTGTGTCATAATTAAGCAACTCTCTATTCGAGCCTGCAGGAAGTGATCACTCTACAGTCACGTATATGTACGCAACGGTTGTTTTTCAATAATCCTAATTCATTCTGCATCTGTCGAAGCGCGGTGTACATTAATCCACTACGAACAATAGATATACATAGTAATTTTTCGACTATATTTTTACAATTGCTAGCAAAAGTGCAAAAATGTTTGCTCAGAAAAATGTGCTGCTTATCTGTGTCAGTATATTTGCCTATTGTGGGATAACTGCTGCCGACAATTACGTGGATAAATCTTTGACGGGAAAGCTTTCCGTGCAAGTTGGTATAACTACTGCCATAGTACGAATGAAGCGAATTTAAAATAACAGACTTCAGTGATTCTATGGTACTTCATAACAGATTAGTTATGGTCATTCTCGATTTGTCAGAACATTATAGGAGTGATTTAGTACTATTTAAATACGGTATTTTTAGCTCATAAGGGAGTTTAAATCTCTACACGGTCTACCGAATAATACACGTATACAAATTATACCGGCACGTATACACGTATACGTGCCGGCACGTATACACGTATAGAATTATTTATTTATGCGCTCGTCCAGCTTACGCTGCATAAAGTTGTGTAAAGTGTATACTCGGTAGACCGTGTAGAGATTTAATGTACAATTAAATTTGGCATTTAATTATGGTTAATTTACTTGAGCGGAAGTGATTCTTTTGTATTCTACTGGCGCTCATTGCTTAGCAACAGTCTTGTGGTGGGTTGTACTCCTGAAACGTGCATACAGATTATTAAGTTATTCGAAGTTTCAGAACAGTTGCGGCTGCATCCTGAATTTATGTAGTTCTGGTTTGCATGGTTTTTTCTCCCGTTCCGCCCGCCCTATGCGCGGAGGCTTTGTCATGCTAGCATCCCATGTGCAGTTTTGTTCATAATAAAGGGGAGGTTCGGCTTGCAAGGGATCGGTCTGATAGCCAGCACCCGCACACCTGATCGTGGGCATTCGGGGCTGCTATACAGAAAGGTTGAGCGCACGGATGTGCCTCAATCACCGCTTCCCGCACAACCGGCATCTCAAAACGCCCAAACATGTCGCCGTCGCTGCCTTCGTACAATGAGCGAAAGAAAATTAAACTCCCTTATGAGCTAAAAATACCGTATTTAAATAGTACTAAATCACTATAACGAGCGCGGTATGGAAACTGTTATTTTAGGTGATTCCAAACGGAAGTCTTCGCAAGATAGAGAGACATTTTTTGGCAGCCCCACAATATGGTTGAATGCAACAGTGCCGGTTGCTTTTGCCGAGAATTTATCCGGTAAGTCATTTCTCTTTTTACAGTAAAGAACCGCACTAAAAGATTAACAAAACATTTGTAACGAAACAAAAGCAAGAATGAAAAAGTGCGTGTACCAGTGCACGAAACTCTTTGTAAAGCGACGCTCACACAATTTCAGGCAACGAAACCAATGCACTCCTCGACGTGCTCGGGAAGCTGGAGTCACAAACCTGTCTCCGATTCCCAGTGAAGTCAAACGAAAAAAATTACACCTTGTTCACCAAAGGGCCGGCGTAAGTGCAAAAATGAGCTCCGTTAGCCCAAAAGGACGCTCAAATTACTCAATCGTTCTCGTTTACCCAGTATACTTATATTTATATATGTATTCCAGATGTGCTGCAAATGTCGGGATGCAAGGAAAGCGACAATATGTTTTCTTATCAAAAGGTACGTTTTACGTATATATATTATTTGTTCTGTTATAACAATACCCAATGCCTACAATAGAAGTACTGTCTAGTACTATCGTACTACAAGTACAAGTACACGACGTATCGATAGTTTTGAACAACAACACACCAGGTACAACGCTGTTTTCAATATTAATAATATCATAATAAATTTTGTTATTTATCCATGCAGGCTGTTTCACGCCAGCTCGAGTAGCCCGACAACTAATGCACGTTCTAGGTAAGAACATCTGTGCTCTATGGTCTGGTTCGGTTTGAAATAATCTATGTTTCAAGAAAAAATTCTTTACAGTTATCTGTTTTCATCATTGTTCGTCAGTATCGATATAAGAAAAACGTAACGTACCCCAGAACATCGAAAGGAATATTTTACTGTACATTTTATTCTCTCTTAGGTGTATAGTTATAGCAGAGTACAGTATGCAATCTAATAATGCTTTGTAGGCTTTCACAGTGAGCTGAATCGCCCAGACCGGGACCAGTATATCGAGATCAACTGGCAAAACATTCGAACAGGTATAGTAGTAACCAAAAACCAATTGGCCACGTAAAACGTTTTAAAAGTGCTTTTAATCAAAAAGCTGTGAGTTGAGTTACACAAAACAGCAGCCAGAACCAACATCGTTGCAGGGTTCGTGCGGAGCTTCTCGAAATATTTGCCGGAAGCATTCCTCACACTGGATTTTCCATTTGATTTTGAATCTGTCAGCCACTTCGATGGAAACAAATTCGCCAACGATCCTGATACATGGACCGTACGATCCAAAAGTGATCCCAACGAACATTTAGGCAGCTCCAATTCTTTTAGTGCATCAGACATGGCAAAGGTAAACAAAATTTACTGCCAGTCGCAGCTGGACAATTCAATATTTGGGCATTCGGGAATGAAAGCGGTCAGGTAATTCCATATTGTTCCATCTGTGCCGCTCTACTGGTCTGCAATTTTTCTGGATCGATGTGGAAATAATCCGTAATATACTGTACGACATCTTCTTTCTTCTGCAAATCGCTGAATCTGATTCGCTCAGATTTCGACAGTATTTTTCCGTCATCCATATTAAATGATGGTGGAAAATGCGAAATGGACACGACGGATCTCTTTGATTAATCTGGAGCTAAACAAAAATATTAATGTCACAGTAACTGTTATCAGTTCTAACACGGCAACCAAGAAAAATGCGCGTGAATTCGGTTCTGATGTACGAATTGTGGCTATGTTTTAACATCGCGTTTCATGAGTTAAACAAGCGATTTTAGCAACTTACCCAGTCTTCAACACATTCCACAGGTGTCACATCATAGCCAGAAAACAGAGCAGGATGTAATCAAAAACCCCGTTAGCCGACATAACTCCATCAGCACCTGTTGCAGCCACACACCGATCAATATCTGCGTATGTTTTAATATCACCGTTAGCGAAAACGGGGATCCTGACGGCTTCTTTAGCAATCCGAATGGCATCCCAGTCTGCAGGCTCGTTTTTCTGCTTCAGTGTTCGTCCGTGAATGGTTATGAAAGAAACACCAGCCGCCTCGAGTTGCCGGCATAAATCCACGGTTTTGCTTTGAAGCAAAAAAGCTTCGAATAATTTTTTTATTACGTGACAATTAATATTATTCACTAATACCGAAAATCTTTTCTACAAAACCTACGAGATATCCTCATTCACTCGAATCTTTATAGATTTCGTAAAACTAGTTTCCGGAACCCGGTTCCACAGCTGCCGCACCATATCTTGGATCAGTTCAGGTCGACTCAAAAGATATCCTCCAATCTTTTCTCCAATCGCCCACCTTAGAAATTATATCGTCAGCAACAAGGTTAACAACACAAATACCGGAAGGAGCTCACTTCTGAGGGCATCCACAATTAACATCAATCCCGTCGCAAAGCCTATACGATAAATTTTACAAACAATCGAAATTCCTGGTGAAACTCACTGCACTATAATCATTTGCTGAAAAACGAAATTAAATAATTTCCGCGCGCGTACCCAATTACATGTTCAGCTGCGTCCAAAAGAATTTCCGGTGAGCTAGCACCAAACTGAACGATAAGCGGGAAATCATCTGTGAAAAAAGACATACTATGTGAACTTTACTACTATGCGAAAATTTCCGAAAACCGTACGGCGAAGACTGTCTACACAAAACGATCGTTATTTTTTAAGACACACCGAGACACCACTCTCACTTTGATCAGTAGAAAAATCAGCATCGCGAGCCTTAGCAGACTTTCTGAAAGTATCCGCAGTAATCATCGGGCTGAAAACCACGTCCGCCCCCCATTTTCGCATTAAATGTCGAAACTGCAACCTGAAAAATTGCGTATGACTCAAAAGATTTTATGGTTCCGTAACACCGGGAAAACAAAAGTGTCTATTTAACAAGCAAAAGTTCAAAACTTCCGCACATATCCCAAATACGATAATTTTTACAACGAAGTGAAAGCCAAAATACTGTAGCTCAAAGCTGGTGTGAAAACTTGAAATTGATATGAAGAGCAGCCAGAAAATGTTGTGTTCACTTACTTAGAGTACCTCACCATGGGAGCGCAAATCTTCAAAGGTTTCTTCTCGTCCAAAAGTTCGAGTACACCAGATCGTTTCATCCTCATTTTATAGCACCACCGAAAGAACGACTGCAAATAATTGCTCTAGGAATTAAATGAAAGCAAAAGTTTGGCGTCCGTACTCAATGCGATTTCTAAATTTTTACAATTTTACCTAAAAATGTTACTGAGATGTGTGCTCAGCTCTGTACGCTTTGGGTTGTTGTTTCCCCTTTCTACGTTTTCAGCCAAATGGCATGCCATACACGGCGCTCAGTAAGTACTGTAATGTCTTGCTGGACTGTGGCGAATGTGGAAAACGTTTTTCGTGTTTCAGCTGTCTGTCAAAACTAGATTTACTTCAACTTCAATTTTATGTTCCCTGAATCTCTCACTTTATTTTTTCGCATTGTTTTGAGTTGACTAACCACCTTTTTTATTAAAAGCGTATGAAGTGACCCATTTGCGATTAGAAATGCTGCAGATCGAACAGGATCATGCTGAAACTGCCGAACAAGTCGCGGAGCAGTTCGATTTGGAACCCGTCGTAGCTGACATCATGCTAGCTGAGGTTGATCACCACCTGGTACAGCTTGAAAACTGGTACGAAAAGTGGCAAAAACTCAAAGACCGAAAGGTATGCAGTGTCGGACTTAACTTGGAGACTTCAAATACTCGCCGTTTAAAGGATGGCACCAGCTACGCTTTTCGGTTTGCAGGGAGCTGACCTTACTCGCGGTCAGCAGAAGTATGCGGCCATGCTGCAAGAACTGGAACGCTCAGAAGGTGAAAAACTGAAACTGGAAACGACACTGCAGAATGAAATCCATTACCGTGACCAGAGCGGGACAAGGTATCATGATCAAACCTCAAACTTCTTCCAAAGGCAACTGCTGCCTGTGCGATCTGGTGCCCGTCAGGTCAGTTATTATAGTGTTTAATAATCCTAGCCTTTCCCGTATTGTAGAATGGATAAAGTTCGTCAAAGACTGGATGTTCTCATCGAGGATGTGGATTGCCTGTCGGATGTTATTCAGCAGTGTAAGTCGCCAAAAACCCGGAGTGTGATGAGATACTTAATCACAGCTGTACTGTCTGTACAAGGACGCAAATTTTATGGTTATACATACATGATAAACCAGCTCAAGAGCGAATTAACGTGTAAATAAGAATTAACGTGCAAATAAGTAATAATTTTTAATAATAAGTAATAATTTTTAATAATAAGTTAGAGCGAATAACGTGTAAATAAGTAATAATTTTTTCTTTTGACATTGTTCTAATTAACATGAGCTTATCGCAAGAGACAGTAAGCTGCGTACAGAAATAAGATATGCAGGTACAGATAAAGTAATTTAGAGAAATTTACCGCATGCTCTTGGATTACTCTTATTCGTACGTTGCTTATCCCTGTCCAGTTAACAACTCTTTCGTCCCTTCGGTTGTTGTTGTTGTCTTGCTTTGCTGTAGTGAAACATAAGTTTCATTTAAATTATGCAATTGTATGTATTTAAATAATTTTCATCCCATGTGCTTTTTAGAACCATTGTTTTGGGTGTTTTCAATTCTGTGTGGTTCTTTTAGATGACCTAGGTAAAGAAGCGGTTGAAAAAAACAATGCCTCCCGTCTGGAAAAGCAAAAGGTATGTTTGCAATTGATACTTACATTTTTCCTGAATTTTTCATTATTTCTTGCAGTCAGCCATTATTTACATGGGTCATTACTTTTCAGCAACTACTGTTTTGGTACGAATCGGCTAAAAAAGATTTGGTCAAACTTGAAAAGCATCACAAAAATAAAGGTCAGTTTCCATGCTCGACTTACTTGGCTTGTTTCCTTTGTGGAGTTTTCGTCATTTTAGCCCGTCAGAAAGAAGAAAGCCTCGTGAGCCTTGCAGCAGCGGAAGCGGATCTCAGGCTTGAAGTAGGCTATAACTTTCGCTCAGTCGTTGGTAATTTTCACATTCGATAAGGAAAAGTGCTTTAATTGTTCAGCTGGAGACGCACCGGAATTTTCTATCCCGACTCGAAATGGATTTAGCACGGTTGAATGAAGAGCAAAAAAAACAAGAAGGTGACAACACCGACAAAGCAGATGACATCGGTAACCGCAGTTTTGTTTTGTGTTCGAAATAGACTGAGCTAGGTTGAATCCGTTTGCAAAACACTTAGGGCAAGCAAAAAGCAGCCTTTTGGAACTGCAAGTCCAACTGGAATGTGGCAAATCGGCTCTCAGCCTTGCGGAAAAAGACGCGGAGGGAATATCTGTACGACTTCCTTTTATCTTATTTTAGCTTCTTCCTCTGGTTAAGTGTTGCCGTGTATACTTGTTTGTAGTCGGAACTGCAAGAAACCAAAACGGTACTTCAGTTACGTCGTGTGGAATATGAACAGCAACTGTGCAACTTGATGGCTAAAGAAGCAAAGTTATCTGCTCTTCGATCCAACTGGGAAGAAACCATTTTGTCAAAGGAAAAAGTAGTTGAAGACTTAGAAACAGCTGGAAAGTCATGCCAGAACCGGTCAGTTTAGTTTTAGTAATTTGTTAGTAATTTTATTTTTAATTTTTGAGATTAAAATGGCTTCCGTAAAGTTAAGGTAGCCGTATACCTATTTAATCCTGGATTATGCAGTGTTGAGAAATTGTCGACGTGATTTGTGCCCTTATTTTCAGTCTTGATGCTTTGGAAGTCGAAAGAGTTCGTTCAAAGGGAACTTTGGCTGAACTGCAGCTGGAACACGGTATAATACGAAAACTGTCTTTGTGGTTGCATTAATTTGAGGCTCTCTCTATTTAGGCAAGAAGGATTTTCACATTGCGGAATTGAAAGACCAACTTCAACTGCTCCAAAATGCAAATGTAAGATCGCTCGCTACAGTCTGTATGGTGTAGAGAATCCTATAATGGAAATCCGACAAGTTGATGCCATTTAAATTGCGGTATCTTAATTTGGGTTACGCGCGCTTTTACGATTTTAGGAAAATTTCCGTGAAAAACATTCAACTGCTCAAGATCAGTTACGTTGTATTGGAGATGCTCGTGATTCCTTTGAGAAAGCATCGCAGGAGAAAAAGAACGAAATTTTGGTACGTACCAGTTCCATAACATTTTTATGTCTGCATTTCTTGAATCACGCTAGATGCAAGGGTAAGGTAGACACGGGCGTTGTCTGTGTGCACGGGTGACCCCGATCACCGATCAAGAATTAAGAACGTTTTAAGCAGTCATTCAGTTTGAAAATGTTTTAGCTCCGGCGGTGTTTCCGGTGTAAGCAGTGTCGACCTTTTTAATTTCAATAAACTATTGGCAGGAAACTGTGAGCAAAGAAAAATCACTTCTTGAAAGTGCGCGAAACAAGAAGGACTTTCTGGCGAAGTTATGCAGTCTGAAAAGGGAAGAAATCAGTTCGTTGCAGGTACATATATCCTTGACACAAATACTTCAGTATTTGATGTCCACATTAACTTCCTCGCATTTTAAAGCAGACATTATGCTTTTAATTTAACAAATTATGTGTTATAGACTCGCGTCCAAGAACAGAATGCTGCAAACGAACTGGAACAGCAACGGCTTTCCCAGCAGGAAATTACTACCATCATGTTGAGTCCGTAAGTCGTCCATTGCGCACCTAGATTTCTCCTATACGGATAACGCCTTCGAATAAACCTTACTTTTGTAGTCCACCTACCCAGCAAACAGAACAACCGGCACAAAGCAAGCCGGGTCAACCAACATTTTTGCAACCACGTCCGCCTGCCGCGGGAAAGATCATGCATCCACGACCCGGTCCAGTGGTGCCACGAAAGCGTGCCCTTTCTATGAGCAGTAACGAAAGCGAATATGTTGACCTCCCAGTAAGAAAACATTAATTCTAAGAATTTGGAGAAGTAATATTTTGAACTGAATGCGACTTTCACAATTTTGTTGCAGACTAGCGTCATCATGTCGGAGGATTCGGTTCGTGGAGATGATTCCCCAAAACGCGTTCGCGAGGCAGCAAATACTGTAAATCGAACTTGAGTATTTCAGCTCCCAATTGTTTACTGGCTTAAATTTTATTAGATTACTATTATACTTTGCAAATTTAAGTATGCGGCAACGTTCCCCCATTTTTTAAATATATGTGATTAATAAACAAAGAAGTAATATTACCCATTTGTACTGAGTAGGCCTTACCAAAACGGTTAAAGAATAAAATAATTACTCATACGAATAAATCGGTTAGTTATTTCTTGAAATTTTTCTTTAGCAGGAATTCTACAGCGATCGCGCCACTGCAGCATCCTCAACCATGAAAGCTCGGATGAACAGAAAGATCTCGGAAGGACTGAACAGGAAGGGTATGGCTCCGCCGAAAGTGCCCGCTCGTGGTCGGCGTGGTGGGTTGAATCGCGGTAATCGTCATGGCCGTTTGGAATTTTTGTGATTACTTTAATGGAATCTGTTCAGCAATTGCGACACTAAGCTTTCCCCAAGAAAAGTCCGTTAAAAGAAAACAGTTCCCAGACAAAGGTTGAACGTAGAATTCTGTTGCGTTACATTTTGTTCGGTTTCGTTGTGCGTGATCAGATAGGGGTCGTGTTTTGTTGGCTTTTGGAGATTATTGTTTGGTTTGGTTAATTACACGACGTGGCGACGGTTAGTCGACTGGTTGCGGTGCCATATTCTTTCCAAAGTACTCCAATTTTGGGCATAAATAAGTTTTTGTTATTTTCGATGTGGTGTTTTGCTTTTTCTTTCTGTTATATTAAATGCCAGAAATTTGAGAAAATCTTTGTGCTTCTATGTGATTTCCGATATTTATTTTAACATTATTTCGATATTTATTTGAACAACTTTTTGTACTACATACAAAATCAAAGGAACATAATATACGAATACCGGATACCAAGTACTTATCACTTTCACAGATATCTTGTAGGTGCACTTTGTTAAGTGGCGCAATTTTTATTGAATGAATCTGTCAGTAACGAATTTAAGTTTTGAGGAATATAATAGAATCTGGAAGTCTAGCCTCAGCGGTTTTGCAGCTTGACCACGACTTCGAAAGGGCAATCGGTGTCCTTTAGGTCTTGTCTGAATAACTGAGCGTGCTGCCAAGCTTCGCTTCCACTTCCACCGTGCAGTTCCGCAACAATAGAGAAACTGTGAACACCTTGAAGATGTTTGATCTTTTGCTCTTCTCGTTGGTGCTTATTGCTTGGGTTGATCTCCATTTTTACTCCTTTATCGCTAATGAACGTGGCCTTGACACATCCGTTGTGATAGGTTTTGGTTGGAAACTTCAATTTCACCGTTTTCACTGAATATCCTGCAACATTTTTTATATCTACAGTATATACCTACTGACACTTCAAAAATTGTAAAATATAAGTTGTAAATTGTAAAATATAAGTTTAAGCAGTATTTTACAAACACAACAAAAAGACGGTTACGATATGTGGCAATAAAGTGCCTGTGTAGAGCTGAATTCTCACCGGTCCCAGAAACGTCAAATCGCCATTCGATGCGAGCGCTATCACTATTCGGCACACGAGCAATGTAGGCCTTTTTCCAGTCATGTTCCACTTTATGAAACATATTACGTTCGTCATAAACACATGACCGCCATCCTGTAAAATTGTTTTAGTAAGCATTACCACTACTCATAAAGCAAACGATTCATGTGAACTGTAGCATACCGGAACTTTTTTTATCGTGAGTGGTGGATCGCACATAATAATCGCCACTGGCACAGTATTGCACTTCCATTTTTTTATGTCGAACTTCCTCGGTCGAGGGCTTGAATACAAATCCCACATTGCCACCGCCCTGCTGTTGGGCATAATGGGGATTACTAGGATGGCCAGTGACAGGAAATCCATGCCCACTCGCCACTGAAGCGCCGGGATAACCGGGCGGAAAAGTTCCGGGTGGCAGATGACTGTGAGCCGCGGGAAAGACCGGGGACACATTGACATGCGGCTGGGGCACACCCGTCGCATACCCGGGCGGTACTGCTCCGGCACCCGCATGGGCAAACGGCTGGGCGCTGTGCGGAAGATATGGGCGTGGCACTGACACGGGAGGGACTGGTTGTGTCGGCGTATACAAGTTCGGATATATTGGTTGTGAAGGGGGATAACCGGCAGTTGGCATCGGAGGCCCCGGATACGGAGGCGGTGGCATGGAATGGTTCATAGTCGGATTGTAGGCCGGATTGTACGCTGGCGGACGATTCGGATCCATCTTTTACCGAGGTGTGTAGCGATGGTACCACAAAGTATAATTTAGTATCGTAATTAAATGTAAAGGGAGGTTGAAATATGACAAATTAATGGCGTTTTAATGGCATGTAGCACTAACTGTTGTTGCAGATTTTAAATTCACATTCGCGGAAAACCAAATCAACCAGTGTACATATACTGATCGTTTGGAACTTTATAACCTTCAACACGACACCAGTGAGTAATATAATATTTATGCATCTGTCGTCCGAAAGAGGAATCGTCAAATGAAACACCGATAAGGTTATCGCTGTTTGATTAAGGCATGGACATTGGACACATTGCGTTCAACTCGCATAAAGAACTCACAGAAAATACAAATCATGCAAACGATTAAAAATTAATTTTACAGTATAAGTACATAAGTACATGCCCATGGCACTGCTGGGCGCTGTCTATGGATACTACCTCGTATTACATGTAAGTACTGTATCAATCAAACATGTATCACATATTCGTATTAACATATTCATATCACATATTCATATTCACATATGCCGCGCCTAAAGCTCGCACAACACAATGGTTGTGTATCTGATGCGCGATCCGGCTCGGAATTCTAATTACTAAGGTATCACTTCCGGATCATGACCTAACATGGGTTAACTGAGAAAAAATCATGTTAAGCTGGATGGATATACTTTGCACACTACAGGAGTAGCCATACTTACCGTATAAGTACCAAACGGTACGCTTTGGTTGGAATCTTTGTTTGGATGATAGCATGTTTTATTCTTATAATCAGTTTCACATTTTGAAATTTTCGACTATGGCTAGTTATTGAATCTACCTACAAAATTAAAAGTGTTTGCAAAGCTGTCGAACATAAAAAAGGTAAGCTACTCGCTACTCCTAAATCCTGGTCAACTTTGGAAATCACAAGCAGAAAAACATTAACCGCGACTATCAATAACAAACACCACCATCTGCCTTAAAACAATGTTGGGATGTTACTTTTGATCATTTGTCCTACTGTTATATAAACTATCAATTTAATTACTCGCAAAATGCCTATTGTGCGAATAATACCATATTTCAAGTAAAATGTGAACATTCACATTATCTGCCTTAAGTGCTCAAAAAGGTCACATTTTTAAGGGAATTTGCTATTTTATGGTGCAAACCGTTTTCAGTACACATTTATGAGCAGCGGTTTAGCTAGTCGCTAGTCATCCATAATAATTTCCTTTTGAGATGCCTTCTCGCTTTGGTTTTTCTTATAGTTCACTGTTGACTCCCGACATTGCCCAGCAAACCACCATTTATTCATATTTTCATACGATTTACGAATCCGCTCTTTCGGTGGGCGGTGCAGGAGTTCGCATATTTTACAAAAACTGCTGCTCTCCCTAGTGGGAATTCCTGGCATATACCACAGCGGATTTGGGGGGTATTTCCAAGCGAAATGTTTTAAATACGCCTCTTCATTCCGCATTAGATGGATTAGATATTCCGCCAACGCTTTGGGAGATGGATAATCCTCGACGTTTATCACCGCACCGGGAGGCAGAAGTTTTTTGTAGTCCGCGCCTCCGAGTACAATTGGTACGACGTCATTGTTGAGAGCGCGATACAGCTTTTCGGTGGCATAGCCTTGGCAGATGCTGAAACACGCAGAAATTTTGGCACATCAAACTTGACAACATACTATTAGATATTTACCTGTTTTCAAATGACAAATAAAACTTAAAATGCTTGATCAGATCTTCCGAATCGCAGCCATTGGCGCCGTGCTTATGCCGGCATGGATCCGGCTGGTCACATTTGCCTAATTTGTCGATGCTGACATATTTTCCCAGTTCAGCAGCATAATCCTCCCGCTTACTGGCCGTGTCGCAATGGGATACCAGCCACAGGATGTCACGCTTGGAGGCATACCACAGTGGGTCGGTTAAGGATTGATTAAAATGACGAGGCGTGTATCCTCCTGAAAATCAGCAGTCTATAATTTAAGACAGCCAATTTTGTTATAAATGCAAATACATAGATACAATACTATTATGGATACGTATACGTACTATTATCGCATCTGTATTGTAAATTTTTAGATTATGTAATTAGCATGATTATATTAATACATACAATATAAATATTATAACAAATAAGTATTACAAATGTACTATTTTAATTTAGATTTTATCATACATACCAGTATGTTTAATATATCCAGTTTATAATTACGTACAGTGCTATAAATCAGTTTCTAAAACTATACTCTCCTAAACTGTGCACTAACATGAATTTTAATACGAATACGCTCACAAAGTCACAATCAGTTGTCATGCATGTTATCATTAAAATGATAGTCCGTTAATGATACTGCACCTGTGGCTGTATATAAAAATGTTATTTTGAAAGGTTTATGTAAAACTGACTACTAGCTTTCACATCTCCGCATGTGCCTTTATTGAAGCGGATCAACTGTAGAAAATTACCGGTGTATAAATCGGATATATGTCGGAGTCCAACCGATACGACATGGTCAGATTGAAGAAACCCGGATGATTATCCCAAGCGCGATAATTCATCAGCTTCTTCGTCGTATCAGGTGATTCGTCCAAATGAAAAATATAGTACACAGACCGATTCCTGGCGGACTGATGGGGTAAGTCCTTCGGGTTAAAATCGGGCATGTAAAAGATGATCGCACTGGCTTGCTTCCGCTCATTGCGATTCGTGACGGCGAGACACCGGCTTTCTGGACAGTTCTTGAACCAGCCGGGCTGATTGTGCTGGTCATACGCCAGCTGTTCGCTGTTCCACTTTGTCCAAATTAGCATTTTTTTGTACGCACCGCCGGTGTTTGTGGAACTCTCGGCTATCATGTTCTGCGATGAAGCAGAATCGTTTTTCACTTCCGTATCGCGAAAAACCTTGTCATAGTAGTAACGCTGATCAAACAACAAAGTCACGCTGTCAATTAGACGCGAGTGTGGAATCACGGTGTAAATGCAGAGAAAACTTAGCAGTCCCATAAGAACAAAATACGTATGCCGTTTTTCTGGCTCCATTGGAGTTTCGCTGTCTGTAGTCAGCCATCAGTGGGAAGGTAAATAAACATTTACGTGCAGATACAGTTAAATGCTAAGCAGTTCGAAACTATGAAGATTTTAAAGTGTGATGGGAATTTTTCATCAACCATATTGTTCATTGATGATCTCTGAGCAAAACGTTGGTCACAGTCTCACAGACAATGCGCGGAATATAATCTTCAGCTACCGGTCAGACGCACGCAGGTTTATACGAAGGTCATGAACTATCACTTGCCTTGAGGCATACGAAAGGTTCGTATCGCAGATATTGTATTGTAGAATTAACGAATGTCTGCGTACTGAAACATTTGAGTAGTACTTTCTTTTGTAACAAAATGCTCGCGGCTTCCACAGACAAATTTTATTTGCTTTAAAAAACAAAATAAAACGTAAAGGCTAAATATGAACAGCAATGAACAACAGCGCACTCAGATACGGGTTAAATACGTGACACACCATACCAGCTAAAACAACTTCAGGATTAGAATTTCGGCAACAGTTGGTCAGTTTGAAATCTAAAGCATTCAACGAAGACGGCAAAATACACAGCATATTGCATAAGCCGTTACAAGCAGTTTATTTAAGTATAACAACGTAAATGATATATCGTCTGTAAAATATAAAACGAAAAAAAACTGTCTGCTGAATAAAGTAAGAACTTTGGTAAAACAGTGAAAAATCCTAAAATCATTTGGTAAAAACCAACTGACGGCCATCCCAGTCTCTCTCCTCCACGTTTTGATGTGCAAAAAAATTGTCCAACATTCTGCTTGGCCCAGTATTCATTCTCAAACATATATGGCACACACTCAAAAAACTGGAAGCTTGGAAACTGAGCCATTCAGTTATGGGATTTCTGACTATCCCGCAGCACTGTAGGTATATTAATAACAAAAGGTTGCGTATGAATACTTCCGCCGGCACAGTTGAGCATCCGGGTCGCCATAAGGAAAGATAATGGAAAATTATGGATATATGTTGTGAGATAATTGTAATATAAGTAATCCTGCAAAAAAAAAGAGCAACATACTAAGTTTTGGTTGCGTAGATCAGTCCATTTAATTTAATTAACATATACAGTACTTGCATTATTAGTACAAATATATCAATCAGATCGTAACATTTTATGTACCGCATATATATGATTTAAAAAATTGTTAGACGTTCTCAGTTGGCAGCTGCAGTATGCTTTAGCTGTCAGTGGTAGCATAAAGATAACGCACAATTAACAAACAAGCAATATGAGCGCAATACTTACTTGCTAAATATCGGAGCATACATAATTTAATCGATCGCTGATTAAAACATGCGACCATTGGAGTCTTTGGGCTTTTTTAATTGTACTTTCATACGCTTTTGTCCCATTTGGTAATTATTGAGAGCGGAAAGTGCGGCCTGAGCATTTGCGGAACTGTCATACCCCACAAAACCTGCAACCGAAACGGAGCACCGTTATAAATTTCAAGGAAGACTGTTAACTCAAAAATAACAATAAGTTTGGCAGTTATTTTTGTAAGTGCCAATATGCTCCAAAATTGGAGATAAGCAGCACCACCCAAGAACGCAAACGAACTCTGACTCAACAGAGATCTGTATTAGAAAATGATCCGCGGCATTTGCTCCACAAGAATATTAGTGAGTAGTAGCTTCATGTCTATGTAAATGTATGTATATAACGTTTCCTAAACTAAACAATATTTACGTTTAAAATGTTTTGCATACGCAAATAAAGGTAACAACAAAATTTACGTAGCTTGTATTAAATGCGTAGCTGATTTGTAGGATAGTTATACCCGGTTGTGCCGGCGAAGAGTTAAGAGTTGGCCAAAATGAAACCGATGAATAAGTAATAATGATGAGCAGTATAAAATGAAAGTAAATCATCTGCTTTAAAAGAGGCTAGAGTGTTTATAGCTGTGGATATAAAAGGTTTATTTGGTGTAGGAAGTGTGCAAAATCAAGTCAACTTGAAGGCGAGAGAGAGAAGCATGTGTAGAGACTGATCGGGTTAAACATTGGGGTTTTTTCCACATCCACCACCCGATGATAGCATGAGGGAAGCGGCGATCGTGGAAAACGAACCCAACTGCGGCTTTTAACGCATCAGGCCGCAAAATATCGACGGCATGCTGAAAAAACCAATAAGACCGGCGTCAATTTTCACCTGAATTAATCAGTGACGTCATCGGGTTATGCAGTGTACTACTTCCGGCCACATTGTGCCCGTTCATGTGGCCATAAGAGCTCCCGGAAGAGAAAGAGCCTACAACACACAGACACATACCATCACAGCAACCACGAACACAACGCGCGCGCATCTGCGGCCAGCCAATTAAACAGGTACAAATACCAGCGTCAATTTTCACCTGAATTAATCAGTGACGTCATCGGGTTATGCAGTGTACTACCACATTGTGCCCGTTCATGTGGCCATAAGAGCTCCCGGAAGAGAAAGAGCCTACAACACACAGACACACCATCACAGCAACCACGAACACAACGCGCATCTGCGGCCAGCCAATTAAACAGGTACAAATACCAAACAGAAACGATGACAGCACCAAGCTGCTCACTACTACAATACAATGATAGGCATCCCCATCGTCAGCGTAAGGCCGAGCGAAGGTGGTAGAAAAATCATTCCGAAGAGCGTGCAATTTGGAAAAGAGTAGGTGCAAAAGGTGACTACTACGTAACTGTACGAAGAAAGGCCATTCCAGAATACTCTGCACTTCTAATTACATTGTACAGGTACATCTGCAAATGTCATGTTGAATATAAGTAAGTAATTCTTACCGTTGGCATCGCCATGTCCGGAGTATAAACTGATACCCTGATACTGATTCAGCGAATGCGGAAAACTTTGGTTCATATTATCCCCACTGTGCATCGTATTTCCACCTTCAAAAGAAACCCCATATAATATCGACAACGACGATGACTACAATAATTAGATAAAAGACGGATACGAATCTGGTTGCCGAAATCCACGATATATATACAGAACACGTTGGGACATCACAAGGGAGATGCAAACAAGTCCACGAAAATAGTCGAGACCACAAAAAAACATAGAACAAACAAACAAACAAACAATACCAGATACACCACACTCTTTCCGTTTCTTCTGCAGCACGTGACCGCGCGCGACGGAACTTTCGACGGAGTGCCGTGATGATCTACCTGGGGCAAACTGATGGGCCGCTTGGGCTTGCAGCGCCAGTGCATCGAGCGACGGCATACTTCCGGGTAGGCTGGCGTTGCTGAAACTGTTGCCGGACAGATGACTGAGCGGATTACTCAGATTCTGACTGCCGCCCACGGTGCCCATGGATGTCGTGCCCAAGCTGTTGAACTGCGAACCCGCGGCGGCTGCGCTCAGCACCGGGTTAACGAAGGGGCTGGAGTTCAGTGAATTCATTCCCATGAGTGCCGCTTGCTGCAAACATTTGACTTGCATTAGATCAGTAGAACTTTTTTGCTTGAATGACTTCCTTGTTCCCAACCGAGGAGCTAATTTATCATGACCGTAAACGTTGAAGCTTAATGAAATTATTATCTTAATACTACGAGTAGTAACTTTGCATATATTTGGACTAGCTAAAGAAAATTTCTTCACTAAGTAAAGAGAGATCTTGAAATGGTTTTGCAACCCTTTATGTCGTTAGAGGATACGATAGTCCATTTTCGGGTATATCGATCAGGAAGAGTAAAGTTGAGCACAAAGCCGAAATAATTGCATGTACATAGTGTCCGTCTTGGTTACCTGAGCGTATGCATTGGCGGAGGCGTTGAGGAGCAAAGGATTCAGTAAACTATTCAGTCCCATGTGGCTTGCCATTTGTTGCATGCGTCGAACTTGGCGTTCTTTTTCCGTATCAGCAATTTTGACCACCAGGCTCGATGATGCTCCAGGCATTGTTTGTGCTCCATGTAAGGCGGAAATTGCTGACTGTGCTTCAGCAGGAGTGGAGAATTTGACAAAGGCACAGCCTGTTAATGACAGAAATTAATTTTATCGTGCGAATGCCGACCATCCAAGATTATTAATTTGGTCCAAGAGGCTTCGCAATTTGCGACTGTATGCTCTTATAATTCAGATCCTTTGCTGTTGTCACCACTTTTATTTTGTATCGTATGGTCATGTAAAGATCGAGTCAGCCGGTAACACATTACTGATACAGTATATTGCTGTACTTCGCACGGTCCAGGAAACACATATAGATATATTCGGTAGCAAGGATGATTTGTTCGTGCGAAAGATAATCAATGAATAAATTAATTAATTTTGTATATAGCTACATTACCACAAATCCGCATCGTTTATATGCTGATCCAAGCAATCGTAAATTCTTTAATGCTGGTAAGACGACAAATACTGCGGACAGCTGACCTATATCGTTTGATTCGCGATATCAGCAATTCGTCAAATCGTATCGTATTCCGTACAAACAGTAATCGTATCCCCTAACGGGAGGATTTTTATTTACAGTAACATTTTACCGGCCGTAATGGAGTCGATCACTAAAGTCAGTTTGGGGTCAAGCAAAGCCCAGCAGCGCGCCTGAGCACAGTGGGCACTTTACCTCGACTAGATCCTTCGTTATTGCGCAGCACCGTACACTCCTCGATGTTTCCGTATGGCTCAAATAATTTACGAACATCCTCTTCCGTCTGCTGTTTTCCCAGCATGCCCACAAAGAGCTTTCGATCCTCTGCAAAATAATAACGGTCAACAATTCATCCTATCCATTATGCATCACTCTAACCGCTAATCAAAATCGTCGCACGGTGTGTATATGTAAGATGTGGTATAGAATATGCGAAGCGTTTTCGTTGCGCATGCAGGTAAACTTACCGGCTCGGGATTCACTATCCGCCGGCTTCACTTGAATTGGTCGTGTCATCTACAAAAAGGTGTATGTATATATACAGCACATTCGTTATGTTGGCTCTGTTAGCCATTCGTGCTTCAAAACGTTTTGATCCATTTATTTTGGCAATAGCCCTTTCTCAATTCCGTCTGACGGCTTTAGTGTAATTACGAGTTTGCTTTGCAGTTGCCTGGCATGTAAGGACAATCTGAATAATGTGTATAACAGCGGTAAATGTACCGTTCATTTAATAACATACATAAGTGGCGTGTGCGTTACTGATTACGCAAATGCCGACGATGAAAAATATTTATAAACTACCCAAAGGACTGTGCATGGTAGACCCGCTACAACACCACTTCAAAGACACCAAAACATAGAATTTCACTAGGTAAATATACGAAAGGATGCAGTCCAAATAAGCAGTGTCTAAAGTAGGTGGAAAATACTCTAAACCTGATTTCAAACATATAAGAATTGTTTTCGTTGCGGTTACAGGCGCGTGTCGACATGTTGATCATAAAATACTGCACTTATTATGTGTTTGTGCGCATAAGCACTTATTCTAGAAGCGATATATAGCAGTAAGCATGCATTGCGATTGCCCTATGCACTTTACAGTAATTAGGGACTTATATTTTGTAACTACAATACAGTTTGCGCAGATGCAATGTGCAGATATGTAGATGTTTTTCGTATGGCGAAGCAATCCATTTCCCTGTCATTTCGCCAGGGCAAGATTAGCAAAAGAAAAATCTCCTGAGTACCATGGTCAGCCGGTTTGATGTACACTATAAGAACGTTGGATGCGTGTCTGGTCTCATACAAAATAACGCCGCATTCATGAGGATTGTCAAATATTGATACTGTTGTAATCTCCAAAGGCCGTCGTTATGCCATGGAATTGTATACGTAACTTAACTACTTGCCCGGATAACGACCCTAGGCAATCACTTGGGAATGGCTGCTGAATTTTCCTGGACAACAAAAACTCTTGCGCTAGAAAATTAGGATAGAATTTTTATCTGCGCGCCGTTTATGCGCTTTTAAACTAAACCTGTCAAATTTATTTGAAATTACGGGGCGGAAAAATTTCCGTCTAAACCTAATTAACCGAGTTTCTTTCAGGACAAGATCGAGTCGTTTCGTTTCTTTCAGGACAAGATCGAGACAATTAAATTCTGAGTCGCTAAAGTAAATATGAAGTCCTATGCAGATGATTATACGCGAGATGTTCGATGTTGTAACCTTTCATGCTACGTTTAGTTTCATTGTTGTTCTCCCGTTGTCGTCTTGCATTGCTGGAAATTAGTCACAACGTGGAATTTCTGGACTTTTCTTGTTGCATGGATGTTCGCCAGTAATGAGAGTTCACACTATGCGCAACGGAAATGCGATAAATTGACCAGCCAACTCAATCTTGTTCACAGTATTTGATATTTCAGAAATCATCTGAATCGGGGCGTCAAATGGAAAGCTTTGTTTGAGTACCCATCCATCGTAGCAGAAGAACCTCGTCCATTTTGCTGTTTGTAAGTGCGCATATGCATACCGAAGATCGGTTAAAATCCGGGAATATATGTATATCAGCCGGCGATGATCGAACTCTAGCCAACAGGAATAAGCGTATCATCTTGCATCATCTGGCCCCGGCTGTCGCACCCCAATGACAACACTCCTCATTTGCATTCACATCTATCTCATTCAGGCTTTTATTCCCTATCATCCATCTTGTCCTTTTTGTTAGTATTGGTTTATCCAGTTGGCAAACGCGTTCACTTCCCCGATATTACAACTTGTCTGATATATACACGCTCGCGCTATATAGGCACACAGAATACGGGTACATAGCTCTATATAACGCGGTGCATAAGGATCTGTTCCGACTCCGTTAAGCCACATCTCACCATCATGCCAGTACTTTTCATGCAAGCCAAATGATCCAGAGAGAAAACGACTGACTTCCGGTTCACTAAGCAAATTACTAGCTTTGAATACAATGCTTTTTACGATCGAGGCCCCCCGAATCCCGTCGGTAACATTTACCACGCTGACCATAAAACCCAACCGACATGGTATTCACCCTGTTACGCACCGTATGTCTGTACTTGTACATTCACAATGGATGTGTGCAATATATCGCATGCAGCCGCACCTTTGTCGTTATGTGCTCTAATTTCGCCATGCATTTTAAAAGCGCTTAGTTCGCTTAAATTAAAAGAGCCAGAACCGCAACGTTAGAAAGAAAAAGGAACCTACACGGCATTGACTAGGCTCATTTCCCTTTTCCTTGTATCACAATACGATACAGTTAAGTGCAATCCCAAAATGGTTTAACAAACCGAAGATAAAAGCCCAAATACACGAGCATTTTTGTTTTTGGTACAGTCTTCTTGAAGAATTATGGGCGAATGTGAATGCTGTTGTAAAAGTAACTCTCAATATACAAGGTTTTTCGGTTCATGATAGTAAAACGTTATAGTGATTTAAAATGCAAAGGTTTTTTGGTGTATTCAAAGCTATATCTCTTGACAAGAGTAGAAGAACAAACTGGCAGAATATTTTCCTACCGCGTGATTTAATGAAACAATTTCAAACGTGCTATACATAATTTGAGGAGTCATGCCCTGATTACAGAATTAAAATCTGTATATTCCATTATTTTTATTGAGTTGAGTTCAAAATACTCTACTTCCATCTGTTTGACCGGCAAACTACGACGTTCCTTGTTTTACCAAGATGGTTAAAGGAACATAATGCATAACTCACAAGGTTTTGACCCATTCTTAAAAGTATACCTGGATACCGTGTGTTTCTCTACAGTAGTTGAATGCCGCCTGGTTCATATAATTATGACACCAAGTCGGGACAGTTTTACTGAAAAGTTAAGTACTCAAGCAAGCTTTACACAACTCTTTTTAACCTTAAAAACTCAAAATGTGTTACGAAACAAACTTCGCAATTTTTGTAATGAAGAACTTACCCCAGGAAGGGTTTTTTGTTGATGAAGGGTGTTCTGACATCTGATAGCACTTTCGCGGTCACAGTATGTAAGGAATGCGCAACCTGTAAAAGTTTAAAAATAAATATGCAGGAAAAGGAACATTTGTAATCAAAGAAGGCAGCGACAGGAAATTCTAGAAGTGCATGACCATGCCTTTTTACTTAGTGCAGTGTTTATGTTTTTGTACTGTACGTTTTGAGCATGACAAGCTGTATAAACCCTAGACCTATACAGTATAATATTTTCCCAGAATACTGTAATTACGTTTTTATTTGGTACATTTTATAACTTTTCTTACCCGAAATTAAGTTATGAACATAAGACAATCTTTCACATGTTTTATTTCCTTTGTCGCAATTATAAATATTTTTTCAAAATAGTAGTAAAAATTAAATGCGCCAGAAACAAATGTGAAAACCACAAATTATGCACGGTGTCCAAACGCAACTACAGTACAAATAAAAAATCCAAAATGGAGGTTTTTTACTGCACGCTTAAGAAGGCACTATACTGCATTGAATGGATTGCATTTATAATATGTACAACACATGCTAAGTATGTCAGTTGCCGAGTGTTTTATGTATTTGTAAAATTTTTACTGGAAGGTAATGAAAAACAATCCGCAAGTTTATTATTATGTGAATGACGAACTACGAATCATTGTACGTTTTCAGTGTACAGATATGGCACAAAAGAAGAGCGCACATGCGCAAGAGCGAAAGTTTTATGGCTTGATTTCGTAAATCCAGCTTCAGATTAATTATCTATTTTCGTCAAATTAAAAAGATAATTAAAATAATCTATTTATCTCTCCTAGATCCATTTCTCGACTTCGAGTTTTGCGAGACCTGACATCTCTAAACAAACTTAAATACAGAAGATCTAGATACTGACACTTCAGTATAGAGGGATCTGACATTAAGCGTGTGAAATTTGAATTCGTATAATTTATATAATCCCATGTATGCACAAAATTATACAATATTATTCGACTGTGGGAACAGCATATTCACCAAATTAGAACAATTTCTCTCGTACAAAATTTTGCCTTATACCAGAAGTTCAGAACCGTGTTATATATAGCTACATCTAGTGCATTCGTCATCCGGCGATCGTTATAACAACATATATAGTCGCCTTCGATCCACTGCATTGACCGGCGATTACTCAGCGCTGTGACACAAAGATATTTTATTTTTCACGTCGCCTGTGCTTCTCATTCTCGGTGCATTTGTGAAAACCGGATTATCGTTTAATAATGTCACCCGTACAGCTGCATTCTTATGACATGAATAGTCTCGAACGGAAGAAAATAAAGACAACTCTAAAACCGTGCCTTAGCGCCACTGCTTATAACATGACCGAATGGAAAGTTATGAGACGATTGGGTATGTATTAATGCTGGCTCTGGCGACTGTTTGCTTGCCTGCTTTACTTAAGCAAGCTCCAACGCAACTATTACATCGACATATCCCAAAGTGCACTCCGCGCTTTCCGGTATGCAAAGTAAGAGAGCCGGAGCCCCGATTGACATGGAAAAGAGCGAGAAAAGAATAAAACTGCCCCATACACAGCTGAGTGAGAATGTGCTTCAAGTTTGCCTGATCGGGAATGTGTATAAAGTTTTCCCATCAAATCTAAACCAGCCTATCCATAAACACCGGCATTCTTTCCGCCGTCGTTCTCAAGCACATTTAGCAATCAAATATGCAACGCACGGACAGGCGACAATTGCTATCCTTATCGCCCAGGGTTGCCCATATAACACATCATGCAGAGCAGGGGAATAAAATACGGGATTTTTATAATGCATGCAACCGACGCAGCCGCACAGTACAGTTCGTATCTGTTGCCGTATATATGCTGATGGATAAAGCGGACATTTCAGGACAATTTAAAGCTTTAAACTATCTGCATCAACTCAGACAGTATCAGCTGCGATGAATGATTTCTGTCTGCACAACTGTGCGGTCCGGTCTCATCCTATTGGAGGCTGTATGAATGCTCTACGGTTACATCGGGTCAATAATTGTCTTGCGCGACAAAGGCCGACTAGCTGGCACTGGTCAGTTGGGGTAAACAGACCGTCCTAATTTAGCCCGCTCTTACGATCAGACAGATGGTCACTGCCTGTACTGGTCAAGCTTCATTCTAAAACCATAGTAAACAACGGTCCAACAATTTTCTAGGTCAGCTTTAACTGAGAACGTCACCGGACGCGCACATTTTCTAAGATATTTTTCATTTTAGATACGCTGTTCTGAGTAAAACAGAAAACTGAACAAACCGCTGCAAACGGGAGAAGCAATACAGTAAGCCATGACCAAACTAGTTTGCCACGCAACTATAGTTATACCAGGTTCTTAAAATTATTGATAATCATAAACACAAAATGTTTGGTTGGCAATAATGATATACTGCAGCTGCTAGCATGGCACATTGTAAAGTATGTAATTTTATAAAATAAATATTTCGAAAAATTACCATTGCTAGAGTGTTGTGTGCTTTATGAGTGATGCCGGTTGATGATGTGGACGCATTGCACAAATAAGCATGTTAATACGCATAATATACTAACCAGCCAAACGGCATTCCACTTGAAACTGATATTGCAACACACAAGTTCTAAATCAAAATTGCAAGAGAACGAACTCGTGCAAACTATGCACTTTTCCACGGTAGCGAGCGCTATCATAACATGCGTTTCGCAATCGTTATCTATACATTTCCAAACGCGCGAAGCTGGCGACTGTCTGCTGCATGCAGCATGCTGATTAAATTGTGCAATCTGTGAGCGGCCTACCGGCACGCTCCAACACGAAAGACTTCGATCTTTTAACCAACTCCATCAAAAGAGAAAAATCGCTCACATCTCCGGATACACCACAGTCATTAAAGTTTACCAAAACAAAAGGAAAAGCTTTACAAATGTGAAGCCTTGGTAAAATAAATTCATTCGTCCCTGTGTAAATTTCTAAAGAAATTTATCTGTCCGTTAATAAGTAATGAAGCGTGATCCGAGTACATTTCGGTCTTTTTTTGAGCCTTTCTAAGTCAATGATGTATTAAAGCATCCACGTATGTGAAAACTAGGGATATAAATAACACCTACACATTTTTTTTCGGTTTAAAATCTCCGAAAATGAACGAATTTTCATGCTTTTATTTAAGTGGTCTAGATCGTTAAAGGATACCGGCAAGTACTGCAGTCAGCGTGGAACCCAGCTCCTCCATTAGCAATGCAACCCATGCGGAACGTTCTCATTTACTGCTGGAATTAGTGCATTATTTTGAGTGTGATAATCAGTAACAGGCTATTTTCTTATGCTGTTTTACAGCCAAGGCTTAAACATATTCTTAAGACAACCCCGCAAACGTTTTTACAGCGTAAACATTAAATACGCAAAAGTTGTCAAAATCCATAAAGTAAGTTAATCTTACTATATACGTTAAGGTGTAATAAATGTGTACCTTTGTGTACTCCGGTATACTTGTCTTTAAGCACAATGAGTTCGTGTATTTTTCCAAACTGTTCAAAAAGAGGCTTGAGATCTTTTTCCATTAAATGCCGAGGAATTTGGCCGACGAACAATTTGATGGCATCGCTGTCTTTAGGCATGTTTATTATTTTGTTGCCATTAAAGCCGTTGGATACATCGGTAATGCTCTGTATATGGTTGGATGTTGGTCCAGGGGAAGAAGAACCCGATGCAGAATTGGAGGATGTATTCGGATTAGTCGGAGAGGGATCCAAGCCAAGACCGTTAACCGTTGCCGTTGCCATCTTCATTCAAAATTGTATGGAATATAGTTCACACACAGGAAATAATCACGCTACAGAAACAATAACTGACGGTATATGAGTATTTCGTCGCCGTGTTTCACTTGTCAAATATATTTTCCTGATATTTTCTGATAAGGTATCGATGTAACAAGATGACAATCTTTCCTTATGCGATGGTCGACATACGGATATTATAATTGTATGACTGGATGCCGGATGGTGTGCTTTTTGAATATACTGGTATATCGACAACAGAAGACGGGAATATAATATACACAACACTCCAAACGATAATTGGAAATGTACAATTTAATACACAGTAATAAAACTATTCTGATATGTAACGATGTAGGGATACGATAATATGCAACAACCAACAACAGGAAGCGCAGCAAAGCAGCCGGGAAAAAAACTACTCAACGAAGCCACACACTACTAACACGCACAACGCAAATTTGACGAAATTATAAGGAAAAACGCGTTTTTCCTATAATTCGCACAAATTTTTGTTATATCTACCACAGGACACGAGCACTGACTCAAACCGACAAAGCCTCAAACCAAAGCTCAAGTATAAAATGTGTGGCACTACATGGCACAGAATACGAAGTGAAATGTGTTTCATGTCAGTAGTTTCTCCAGCAAACGCCGCCATCGAGTCGGCAAAATTGTGTGCGATTGGTACAGTACATGGATATATCAGTGTGCGTCGCTGTACTACTATTCGTTTTGCTGAAACAGTTCGTATGAAACATCTGGACGAGTGATAAGGCGGTACTTGAAATACTTGTGCAATCATTTTAAATTCTATCGAGCATGCATATGGTAGGCTGTTGCGGCACATGCGTCGCATGATTTCGACCGAGGATGTATCGAACGTGGTGCGGCTTTTTAGTTTTATACAGCAGCAATTTTGATTTTAGAATTAGGTTATCATGCATAACATTATGTCCCAAATCATAATTACTATTGATAGCTGTAAACTGGATGGCGAATAATTAAATCCTTTGTGAATTTACTTCACCATTGCATAGTTAACTGTGCAATTGCGTCTGTCAGCATTTTTATTTGCATTTCCTTATGCTTTCGAAGGAGTTCCAAAATTTATTTATTAAGGAATTGAAACATAGTACAGATACAGCAGGTTTCTAATAATTTACATTGGATGCGCAAAAGGACTGCTGCAATTTGATATGTTTCGTAATTCAGCGGCAACCAACCTATAATTATATTGTAACTAGTGCTGTAACTCCAGTACAGCATTAGGCACTTGTACAGATACTTTAACAACGACTTACTGAATTATACATTTACAGTATATTAAAGGAAGAAACTGTTCGTTATTAAAAGCTCCGTTCCATGTACCTCCTCAATTAAACTGCTGCATCCGGTCGCTAGATTTCAAACCCAGTACAAAATAGTTTTAATTAATAATTATTTACTTTATTTAATTTAATTTTTAGTTTTAAATATTTTACGGTTTTTACCAACTTTAACCATTGGACAGTTAGCAAGTGCCCGGTTTGTATCAGGCAGCCGGTTTCGACGCTTTGCATATTACCGGTTTACCACATGGGATAAATTGTGTGGCACTTCTAAACGTTCTGCACCATTTGGGTTGCTATTACCAGCCATCTTCAGCCCCAAACCAATCCCAAACGACGAAAAAGCGCATCCGGTGTGACGCAGTGTTCTTCTACATAGAACTGCAAGGGAACGCAAGCGCATGCACTAGCTATTTCCAACGTCGAATACTTGCAACGCTAAAATTTTTATGATTGCAGTGCAGGAGTCATCGCTCTTTTTGAAATTACATATGTTGAACCATTACTTAGTTTAACATAATTTAAGTCATTTGCTTACAAGTTAGCTGCAAGATAGAGCAAAAAGTGTTTTTTGAAAGAAGCATTTTGTTCCCAAATCGTCAAGCAGTATTCAGCTGGACCAATGTATATATTAAATCTTTTCTGTGGTTTTTAGCTTTTCTGTGGTTTTTATTTCTTGAACAATTCGATATAGTATATTGCAGATATGTATTAACCTTTAGTCAGCATAACAAACAGAGGACGCATTATTTTCACCAAATTAATTAATCAGAAAGCACGCTGCACGTTGGCTGGCCTGCGAGTATCTATGCGACTGATTAATTTTTAAGAGTACTGTAGCCGCCCGCACAAGTTGCCCCACAGAGTGAGGTATACGGATATTTGCACCCACATTGCTCACTGTTGATCGCAGTGTGTGCAGGGAGAAGACAACGGCCGGATCTGCCAGTGGAGCAATTTGTGCGGGCGGCTACAGTACATAGTGTAGCCTGTGGTGCTAACGCTCTACAGACGGTATAATACGCTAGAATAAGCGATTAATTTCATGTCAGTCGGCTTTAAATTCCCCGTGGTTATGGATTTGCTCTAACAGCATATGAATGAGTTTACAATATATCCGTATCACACTTTGAATATATGAGCACCATCTGGCAGCCATCGGACATAATTAGAAAATGCTCATATCTCCGCACCCGCATTAAGCTATTTATACACACTTTACGGGTGAAAACTGAATGTCCTTCCTTATTTCGTAGCACCGCAGTGTTGGAACTTGGAACCGTACGTGTGCGATCCGCCGATCTCTCAGCTAACTTGCAAATTCAAATGATTTCAGCATCCGGAATTTTACTTATTTATTTATGCAATAATTTGCATCCATCCAGGTGAAATTACGTAATTTGTAATGCTTAAAAATGTGTATGATAACACGTCTAATTTGAAATAATACCTATTATTATTATGCCCGCTTAGCATTTGGCCATTTGTAATACATGTACAGTAAAGTGCAGCACGTGCGTGTACATCTTCCCCCCCATTACATTAATTATTATAGACAGATTTTGGTTCTCACGTTTATTGCGGATGTTTCTGGTAATTAAAGAACCAGCAAGTCTCTCACAGTTAACGCAAAATTTTAAACCAACCAAGCTTTTGATTGGTGTGGTTGATCTGCCGAATTCGCAATCACTGTGTTGCAAATACTGTACATACGAAGCCGGTTGCATGTTACGAATGATAGCTTCGCTGGCAAAGAATTAAATTCAATTAATACAAAAATATTAACACCTAAATTAGTATTAATTACAAAATTATATCGCATGTTATCTTTCGCGATGATCAACCGGCAATTCGAAAGGTAACCTTAAAGTAACTTTAAATACGTTCCATCCCCGACTGTTATTTTTGCGATCTCATCTGTCACCTTTTACCGTACGGAATAAAATGGCCTCACGTACAGTGCCTCGTGAACTCTACTCGTAGTACTTCTGATCTATGAAAACCATTCGACGTTTTTAGACTGTAAGCGCTAATTACAATATTCGCAAGAGATGCAGGGGTTAAGCAGATGCGCAAGTCTGGCGCAAAGCATACCCATTCATTCCTCAGATCCAGCGCGTGTGCTCTGATTAGCCCGCTTGATGGGTGCTACTGGGTCAGGTTTGTTGATCAACCTGGCAGGCTGTCTTCCGCTATCAGAATTTTACTTTTCTAGACGGTTGATCACGGTCATTGTCCGAAGGCTGAGCTTTTGTTTCAGGGACAACGACCGCAGAACATATTACTTGCATCATCCAGCAATTATCCTGGAACAACCAGCAGCTGCTCAAGACGTGTCCAGTTATACAAACAATACTGATAGCACGTTAATTAGCTAGATTAGTGAGGGTGCTTTACGTAACAAAACGCGTGCAGGGCACTGACTTATCGCTTCGCATAAGGTAAGCACCGATTACGGGCATCTCTCGCATTCAAAATACGTTGTCTTTTGTCGGTTTATTAAATTTTTTTTAAATAATAAAAATGAAAGGACATATTCAAATTACCAATGCGTAAAAAAGCTTCCGTTAAAATCTTAAAATAAATCTTTGAAAAACAATTTTCGGGCTAAAATAAAACACTATAAAATAACGCGTACGGAACGGTAAGACGGGACGGTAAATTAAAAAGGTACTTTAAGACAGATTCCAGCAATATGAGAATGCAAGTGACAATACTGGGCGCGGCAAAAATTAATTTGGAATATTTCTCGGAAATTCCTAACATTTCTCCAACTCCTTTTCCGCATATCCAATTTCTCGCATTGCCTTCTGGATGGGCTCGTAAACATCAGGATCTTCAATTGTTACCGGTACCTGTTACAGCAACAATAAACTTGACAGTCGCTAATCAGAATAAATACAAAAAACTCGTAAAATCTGGATATTGAAATAATTTCAAGATTTTTTATGGAGTTAAGCGAACGGCAATACAAGTTGACTTACCTTCACGGGGCGATCTTCAGCTAAGCAGATGAGGCTGGGCCGAGCAATTTTTCCCGATTTTGTTTTCGGTAATTTCGGAACAACACAAGCGCTCTTAAAGGAGGCTATCGGTCCGATGTCATCGCGCACGGATTTGATTATCTCTTTAACAATATCACTGCCTTTTTTATCGCATGCTGAAAATACATTAATGTGCTCTTGTTATGAACCCTATCGGACTATGCGCAGCCCGTAACGAGTAACATACCAGATTTGACCACAAGTAAACCAACGGGAACTTGACCCTTCAGTTTATCCTTCACTCCAATTACGGCACAGTCGGTAACGTCCGGATGTCGCAGAATTGCCTGAAAGCGCCAGTTCATGCAGAATGCAACCTGATACAGCAGATCTGTTGTACCGCAAATAAGCGGTGTTAAATGAGTACTTCTTCGATTGCAGATGTCGAAATTCTCACTCCCGAAACGTTGATGATATCTATAAAAGCAATCACAAAATCTCTCCACTTTTTACGGGTTTGGCAATTCCGAAAAGTTAAAATTACCATCCATTCTGGATGCGACCGTCACGTATCCATCTTCGTCGACACTTCCCTATATTCATAACAAAAACTATAGAAAAATCAGTTCCACCACATTTTCCACGCAATTGACAGCATTGAAAACAAGGATGCCGACGTGCAGTTTTTGATATTGATCAGCCTCCAGCAGAAAATAAAACAGTTAAGCAGTGCAGAGTACTTACCGCATCCATTGTATCGTAATAGCCCTGAAAATATTCCATTACTTGAAAACCCTCAACACAACCCACACCGAGAAAAGCTAACCGGGTAACGTTCAAAATACGTTTTCTTGAATCCCTCGTCATTCTCCCATAAACTGGAAAACGCTCCCGGTGGTAACGGTAATCTATTTAACCATGCACCGTTCTCCACACAGATGTACTGATAACGAAGCAATAGGTTCAAAGAGTAAGTGGTGGGACTCGTCTTACTTGACTGCAATCCGACCAGTCTGGCCAACCTTCGCTTCTTTTCCGGTTTCAGAGTCCAAAATTCTAACTGAACAGTAACATATTATTCAGATTTTTACAAATCACGTGAGCTGGTTTAGGTCGAGTTTACTAATGGTAAGTAATATCCCGCATACAAGTCAGTTCACAAAACTACAAAAATCTGAAACGTTATGAAAAATTATTAGTTACTATTACCATCGTAGCCCGGTACAGCATGGCCGGATGAATGCGGTGGAGGATCGAGATTCGAACCCAACCCACTGCACGTCGATGTTATCGGCCATCCAGTCTCTGGAAATGTACGAATCTGGACATATAGTTTAAATTTTCATTGAATATTCGTCGGAAGTCCTGCTATGTAAGGATAGGCTCAAGCCCATGATTACAAGCCTCACATACCAGTTTGCCACCAGTTATCCAAAACTGCAGCGTTGAACGTTTCTTTCGTCCAAGCCTTGGTTCCTTCATCACAGTGCTCTCCCGCAATGTAGAGTAACTTCAAACTAAAACGTACCGACACTGACAGTCACAAGAATACCCACGCTACTGTACTTACATGCACGTTTGCAAATTATTTAAGCTTGTCGAAGAAACAATTTGCATTTTCAACTATGAGCTGTCCAATATTTTTTCAAAAATGTCACATCAAAACCAGAAGCTACCTTTTGATGTCATGCTTCCGGCCAAATTTTCCCTCGGGATCCTGCAGAAAAATAAAACTGGAACACAGTTTATATATATATCAGCAAGATTCAGCTCCAAGCCTACCACTTGTCGAAGCGCTCGCATAGCGGTGGGAGTGGTGAACATTCCCTTAACTTTATAGCGCTCAATTAGCCTAAAATAGCTACTACCATCCGGTGTATCGGTGACCTTTCCCTATAATCCGAAATCGGTAGTGATACAACTAATAATACTATCAAGCAGTAAGAACAAATAAGCATCCTTTTACTTCGTAGATAACGGACGGGTTACCGTGCAGCAGCGGAGCGTAACAGATGTATGAATGGCCCACCACCCAGCCAAAATCACTCGCCGACCACCAAATCTCTCCCGGTTTCATTCCGTAGACATTATACATGGACCAATGTAGTGCTACCGCGTAGCCTCCTGCTGGACGTACCACGGCCTAAATCACCAAAATCCTAGGAAAACTCTGCGAGTAACCGTTGTTCTTACCGGCGGGTTTGCTGACTGCATGCTGACAATACAAGCTTTGGAAAATACCGCGAAATTGGCCAAAAAAAAGAAACAGCTTCTAACAGCAATACCACATTCCGCAGAAGGTAAGATATTAATCTGTGCCCCAGAATTCACACCTTAGGTGTTCCAGTTGTGCCGCTTGTGTAGAGAATGTACAGCGGATCCATGGCGTCGATCGGCACGCAGTCAACACTCTTCCCCGCCGCAACTGCTTCATGCCAATCGGAATCACGACCACTGGTCCACGAACTGCGAGACTGAAGAGAACTGCACTGAAGACTCTTACGACTGTGGATAAAAACTGTCCAATATAGATACACACCATTTCCGGACGCTGGAACACGACAACGTGCTTTGGCTTGTTAGTTGCTGTATCAATGGCATCGTCAACAATCTTCTTGTAGTCCACTTCACGGCCTCTTTCAATGCCATGGGACCCGCAGATCACTGCTACTGCCTACAACAGCAGAAAAGTCTGAACACAGACTGATGTCTTTATTTGTGTATGGTTATGTGTATACTTGTACTGTAAAATCACTAAAATGTATGTATTTGAGCACCCAACCTAAAAGTCTGGAGTAAGAGGCTTTTAATGAACTTTACCCAATAATAAAGGTTAGGGTTAGTTAGCGTTGCATCAGTATTTCGTAGTAGTATTTCATGGTTCAGATGTTCAAATAAGTGAAAAATCTGGAAAAATCACGATATGCAAGTTTTCATGCTAATCGTAGTTCCCTCCAGGGCATGCTTACTAGAGTAGGGAAACAAAGTTTTTACCTTAGCATGAGAAATTCTGGTGGCCAATTCTTTGGCGGCAAAACCTCCAAAAACCACGGAATGAATTGCACCGATTCTAGCACATGCTAACATCGCCGTCACGGCTTGTGGAATCATCGGCATGTAAATTATGACGCGATCGCCCTTTTTGACTCCGAGATTCGACAAATGGGCTGCGAAAGCTTTTACCTGCACACGACGCAAGTTAATCATTCTACTAATTTTAAGTACAGTGCCGTAACTGTCGACACATTTTACAATCTTTCAAGCAGATTAACCGTAAGTAATTTTCGTCACTGCTCGTATTGGTATACCTCTCTTAAAATTTCGTCGTACGTCAGGGAACATCTTGAATTTGTTACCGGACTTTCGTGATGCAGAATGATCTCGCCTCCTCGACCCTCATCACAGTGCCGATCCAATGCATTATAGCACATTAATTTTCCATCCGGAAAACCTGAATAGCGTCAACTTCACAGATTACTTGTACACAAGATAAATTAATTAATAATGTGCAGTTTTTCAATGGTTTTGTACTCGTTTGTTGTGTACACGTACTCGTATAATAATTATATAATAATCATGAGTACGTACTCACCTTATTCACATTCATAAACAAAGTAAGTAACAACTCCAGTCTCGTAACCATATGCTGTGGTACTTTATGTAAACTTGCAATTATAATCATGTTTGCAAAATTTAGAGCGAGCACAAATGAGTAGGCCGTTTTCGAGAATTGTAAAGTAGAGTGTGCAAACAAAAAATCTAATAAAATTTGTAAAAACCGAAATGATTTCCGGTACTTTCTTATGGTTAGGTATTTGCAGCACTTGTACTTTACTACAGCGCACTGCCGATGTTCATGTCGCAACTAAGCGGCCAGAAGAGCAAACTCTGAGCGGAAAAGATTACCTGTCTCCTGATATGCAAAGCGTAATCTTTTAACTGTAAGTTTCAAACCCGCTTAACTTTGTACAAATCCCAAACAAAATTTGCATGGCAAGCGTTGGCGGGTTACGTATAGTCGCATACCATTTAGTAAACGGAGAATCTGTGTCATCTAAAACTTTGTCCTTCTTCTCATCCCACACCAGTGCAGACGCCAGGTCTTTCCAGTATTCCTCTCGTCTGGATAGAGATTTCAGGTAAGTTTTAAGGTATACGTCTTCTTCGCTGGTCGTTGCATCACTCTTTGCAATTTCTGCATTGCGAACATTCGCTTTCACATCTGCATTTCGATGACGAACCTGGCGATAATGAGTTTCTGCGATCAGCTGTTTTCCAGCTGACTGTGAACAGAATGACAGACATAAAACAGCACGGTTAAGCTTTGTCGTCGAGGCTGGCTTTAGTGCGCGATGGAACATCAACATTTTCTAGTCCTTTTATCAACGAATACGGTGAAAAGTGACGATTTATGGTAAAATGTGACAGCTTTGCAGCCCAATGTCCAGGTTGCCGTTTACAACTCTTGAAATTATGTAGTTAGGTACAAAATATCATAATCATACACTCGCGAATGCCAACAACACCGAGAGAAACAGACCAACATCTATCTGCCTGCTTTGAGAGTCTGACGATGAATTACAATCGTAGACTTGCCAGCTGCTGTAGCTTATGGTTAGTACACATAACACATAGGCTGGTGACACAGCCACTGCACCTACCTTATTACGCAGTGAAAAACAAGTACAAAATATCTGTATTTACTAGTATAGAAGTATAGTTTTATTCAGCGTGAAACTTTAACGAGTTTATAAGCCGATCGCCTCTCAGTAGGACATCTGCCTCGGCATGCATACGTACTTATTCTTCAAAATCTGCACCAAAATTTGTAAAACAAGCATCAAACAATCGCGGTCTGTATTGTACTACTGATAGTATTTGTTATTTTATTAACATATACAATTCATTTCTTTTTTCTTCTGCAGATTATTGCATAATAGCCTTAGTTTAGCAAGATTTTGGTTTGGATAAAAACAATACTATTATCCGTAATAAATGTTTTATATGTGCTCATTACCACCATACTACTCGTATAAGAAGCCCTCTTCTATAATTATGTGCTACCAACACCAAGTCGTGATCGGTGATAACCATAAAAGCACTAAGGTAAATTTTAGGCTAAACTGTCGAGTGGTTTGCTTTGGGCCGATAAAAATTTTTTTGCAACAAAATTTTTTTAAGATCGGCGGTACGAAGCAGTCAGAGGTTTTCTGTAAAAGTAAAGTACTTGTTGTATCTTTGTTTCTTGAATGATTATACAGCCTCAGCCGACTCCGGAAATAGGCGGCCTAATCCCACAGAATATTTCGTCTAATTTAGCTGATTCTGGTACTGTCCGTGACAGAGGCAGCGTTTCCGCAATAAAAATTTAAGTTCGTGCAGTATTCAAAATTTATTGTGAGTGGTACTGTGGTGCTAACTTGTACACGATTGGTTTACGACTTTACGGAACTTCAGCAGGCGGCACAGCGTACTGTACAACCGATGGTTGATTTTTCACAGCAGAGTTTCTGTATTCTGAAATAAAAAAACGCGCAATCTCGACCGTTTTTTTATTGTGAACAGCAACGTTTTTCACCCTAATCTCCGCAAGACCTGCTCCGTAACACTTGTTTATTCAATCTTAGCTTGCTACGTGAGTTATTTGCTGACGCTGTCATACACCAGGACGGCAGGACGCCTTCGTCGGAACGGTCCCATGATGTTGCAAAAAAGAAGTAATATTTTTCGTAGTTTTGCTTTTCTGTAGTAATACTGTAATACAGGTTACAGGTATTTAAGTATAATATGTATAAATATATATAGAAGTTTGGTAGTGCACCGAGGAATGGTAGTGCGCAAAAGGTTGTGCACGGAATGAAAGGAGTACAAAAGGTTGTGTGCGGAGTGAAAGGGTGTGAAAGGGTGTGTACGGAGGATCACCTTTATTAAATGGCTAAACTTTCAGAGTATTAAGTAAATTAATTAAGTACTTTAAAGCGGGTCACCGGCACTTCTGCGAATGCACGTAGCAACATACAGGTGTATTGTACTTGACTTCCGGTATCGGTTTGAAAGCTATTATACCATGACTTCCTCCATGAGTCACTCCATGACTTCATTCATTGCACCGTCAGATTCACGCTTACAGCACGTGGCACAATACCGTAGTACGAGTACAAGTGAACTGTATGGTGCCGTATGATGTCAGAGCGGTGATATCATTTCTGAACCACCCTTTAAACTATTAAAGTAGAAACGCCGGTATATAAATAATATAACCAAGGCATTTTGAGTTGCCTTTATTTTTGTAAATTTTACTACGGTACTGTATTTTTTCATTCTGATTTCAGTATTTTCACTGTTTTTGTGATCTGAGCTGTACCGTATAAGCCTGTGATAAACTAGGGTAGTATTAGGCGAGCGCAATAAATTAAATTAAGGATCTCAAATCTCATTGTCAGTCCAGATTTTCTGATCTGTTTTGTACTGTGATCTGTGACAGGCAAGCGCAGGGGGCTCACAGGTGCCTTTATTGTACAAATAAAGGGGAGCAAATACCGCGTGATTGCGGGAGAAAAACAGAACAAAGCCAATGTCTGGCAGAAATCAGCAAGTCAAGTTGCTGCGAGCGAGTTCTACGCGTAATGAAATGTAGAGAATCGAATGTGCTGGCGGCAACGGCGTCACGCTGTCCAGACACAAGGAATGTGAGTGCGCAGACTGGACTCGTATCCAACGCGAGCGTATAAGCGCTGAGTCATACAGCGAGAGAGAGGAGCGAGAGAGCAAGTATGCTCAGTGAGTGCGCCCGCGGTGTATCCGCTAAGCGGAGAGTGCAGTGCAGCCACTCACGTACGTACAAGAGAGGGCGAATCCGCATGTGTGCAGTGATACGCATACGCAAAGTGGCGTATCTATCACGCAGGCTGTCGTGCCTCTAACATGCCTCTGGGCGGGAATCCGAGCTCCTGCGAGGATGCTCCGACTCAGTACCGCGCCAGCGTCGCACCTCTCCGGTCGACCCGTGTGGGGTCGCCGGTACGCGTCCTCTTCCAATGGGAGTCCGGTGTCCGTTGACCGTCCCATCCTTCACCTCCAGATCCATGAGAGGCAAGCAACTCACGGCCGAAAATCTGGAAGCCGCTCGGGGTTCGTTGTTGGACCGGTATCGCTTCTGTTGGCAGGCATCTTGCTTCTGTTGGCTCGCGGAGAAAGTAAAGAAAATGTAATGACGGTTAAACAGCGCGAAGTAAAAAGTAATAACGTTTAATCACAATTCCAGTGAGCAAAAAGTAAATGCAAAACAGATCTGGTTATAGATTCTAAGTAAAATACAATTCCGTTTGTTAGAAAGTGTATAAAAATACTAAAAAGAGATCTGTCCGGGGGCTTATTCCGACTAGGATGACGTCCACGGGGTCTTGGGTTTCCACGGGGTCTCCTGTCTAAATGCAATCCGGTGTATCGGGTCCGGGGCGTCGGTTCCCGGGTTACCCAACGTAACCGGTAAACTTGTGCGAGGTCGGGTAAGCACGGCTGACACTTACGTCCGACTCGTATCCATCCGTTCCGGAGAAATTAAACCGAGGTCATTTGACCAAGGTCGACCTCCTGGTGAGTTTAACCAGTGGTCGAGGAATCCGGCTAAGTCCCGAATTCCAAAGTTCAAGTCGGACAAAACCGTACTTGTGTCGTGCGACTTCTGTGGTCGCCAAGTGGTAATGCCGGTAAAGTGTGGTCGGTTAAAACCGTTAAATCTGCTACCACGAGCCTGGTTGTGACTTCCGATGCGAACTGGCTCGAAGGTCCGGTCGGAATTTCTTGTTCCTCCCATCCGATGATGATTCACTGTTGTCATCCGACCTGTTGTCAGTTGGGATGGATATCCGACCTGAGGTCGGCGATAACGCACCTCCATGGTCGACCTCGGTAACTCGTGTTATTTAGGCCCGTGTGGGGCCATACAAGTCCCGTTAGGTCGAATTCGTCCACTTCAAGGTCGTTTTCAATTCCGTTCTTTCATTTGGTCATCCTTCACCGACCTGTTATCGGTGACTCCTGATGTTCGACCTGAGGTCGGGTATAATGTTATCCAACCCGTGGTCGGTGGTGATGTTGTACGGCCTGAGGTCGGTTACCACGTAACTGGTCCGGTCGAGGGTCGTACTTCGGTTAATCCGCTGATGTTCCAAGCGGTTCCGAACGATCCGGTGTTCTTAACCAACTTCTGTGGTCGGTTAAACCGGTTATCCGACCTGAGGTCGGTGACAATGTTATATCACCCGAGGTCGGTGATAGTGTTATACAACCCGAGGTCGGTTATCCCGTTTCGCAGGTCGACCGAGGTCGATTTCATCCTTCCGGAAGTCGTTTTCCGTGGACATCTTCAATGGTGTCTCCATTCACCGACCTGTTGTCGGTTACTTCACATATCCGACCCGAGGTCGGGTACAATGTTATCCGACCTGAGGTCGGTGAGTCCATGGTTCCGTGTTCAACCGAGGTGAGTTACGGTTTGCAAGCTCGAAGTGGAGCCATACAAGTCCGTTTCGGTCGAATCACGCTCCTAACCGACCTGTTGTCGGTTACTTTACTTTATCCGACCTGAGGTTGGATGTAATGTTATCCAGCCCGAGGTCGGTGATTCTTCGTCCAGATCGATTCCGTCCGCTAAGAGGTCGTTTTAAGCCTCTGGGCCTCCATCCGGGCTCCGCAGAGTCGTTCTGGAGCAGTATCCGGTTCGTGCCTCTAACATGCCCTGGTTCGGGTTCGTGACTTTGCCTCTGGGCGGTCGGAGTTCCGTCGAGTTTGGCGGTTCCATGGCGTCTGTTGGCCATTCAGCATGCACTCTTGGTCGCTTGTGGTGTCAAGGGACTTCTGTGGTCCCACTCCACAAGACAGACTCTTTGGTTCAAACTGGCGTACGATTCTCGCGCCTTGGCAGCGTTGTGCCTCGGGCCCCGACTTATGTCAGACTGCCCGTTCCCATCCCCATGCAGCATGCAAACTGAGGTAGAATCAGATCACTTGACTTCCCTGGTTGGAGTTTCTTCATTCTGTTCCACGAACCTGTGACGCCTTGCCACTTCTGTTGGGGGGAAGACATCACACGTCCGTAGGGGTCTGTATGGGGGTGCAGGCCGTGTGTTCTAACACGGTTTGCCTAGGATGTTCCATTTGAGACATGGGGAAGCAGGTCGCGGCGGAGTCGTTGGTACGCCGGTAGCCAAATCACCGTCGCTGTTCCTCTTCAGGGAATGACAGCACGTTCGAGACGCGCGTAGTCGTGGTCACCGGTGAATCGGTTGGTTTATCCGATATCCTCCGGGGGAGACTGCGGTTGGACTCCGGGTACAGGTTCCTAGTTGAGAGCCTGTAGGTCTGGGTTCAAACGGAGAATCCGTCCAGACTAAGATCGTGGTTAGATACCGCGGTCTGCGGTCAACATTACCGACTTCTGTGGTCAGTAAAGGTTGCCGTATGGCTATCCGACTTGTGGCTTCCGTATGCTTCCATCAGGTCGACGTCAGTTGGTCGAGTGACGACATTTCTGAGGTCGGCTACCGTTGGTAAAATCGACTTCTGTAGTCGATCCTAGGTAGCAAGTCGTAGTTGACACGATCCGCTTCGTTGCGGTCCGAGTGGTTCCATGTTATTTTGCGGGCTTGTTATCCTGGAATTCTCGCTGGTTTCTACTCCGGAGTCCGGTTGCCGGAGTGTTTCTACAGCTTATTTCTCGGATGTAAAGTTGAAACGTCGCTGACTTCTGTGGTCAGCTAGGTTGTCCGAGTTATACTGACTGGTTCCGATCATCTACTTCAGGGATGGTTGACTTCTATGGACAACTGAGGTAGTAGATCGTGGTTAACCAACACGGTCTGCATTGGGTATATCCTTCTGTACGACTTGTCCTTCGGATATAAAGTTGAAACTTCACCGACTTCTGTGGTCGGCTAGGTTATCCGAGTCGTAACGAGGAGGTCCGAGTTCTACCTTAAGGTTGGTTGACTTCCGTGGTCAACAAAGGTAGTCGATCGAGGTTCTGTGGCACGGTCTGAGCCACTTCCTTTCTTAGTTTGGCTTCCTCGGGAATGGTCAACTTCTGTGGTTGACTGAGGTAGCGAGACATGGTTAAAGTCGCGGTCTGCGAAGTTAAGTCTCTGGGCGGGAATCCGGTTCTTCGCTCCTGCCTTTGGTTGATTCAATGCATCATGTCGTAACAGGTCGGTTTTGACTTTTGTGGTCAATTCCGAACCATGTGACATTCCAAACCGATGAGGATACCACTGTCTGCGGTGATGAAAGTTACTGGTCGGTTACCCGGTCCCAAAGTCGGCCACGGGTGCCAGGCAAACACGGTGTGAAACAATTTCGCACCATGTTAGCGTAATCCTCTCGGTCTATACTCCAGAGTCGGTTGGCCGGAGTAATTTTCTTCGGTAGCAGAACGTGGTTCACGATATGCTATGTTAGCAGGCCGGGGCGTCTGTTGTCTCCGGTCAAAGCAGATGTGGTTCTCGATCTGCTCATGCCATGCTGGGGAACTGAGGTCAGTTGCCCAGTTCGTTCCAGGGGATTCCTCGGGGGACGTACCGGTACGGTGAAAGAACCGGAACACCCAGGTCTTGACCACGCGTTTCCGGGTCTGACCGAAGAATCCGGCCAACTTATGTGGTTGGCTCTTCTGGCTTATTCGTGGTTCACGTCCGCTATCTCAGGATCTGTAAGAAGAAGTAAAAGTAATCCGTTCCATGTTTCCACGTCATTTCTTGACGGTGCTGTTTCTCAGCTGGGCAGGTTCTCTGCCAGGTCGGTTCTCTGCCAGGTCGGTTCTCGACTCCGCCGTTTCTCGGCTGAATGTCCCTTCCTTACTGTTGAAGTGGGGGACTCGGGTTCGCATGTGGGAACCTGTTATCCCAAGGGGACTGAGATCGGCGGGTCTCCACCGAAGTAGTCCTCATCATCTTCGTCGTCAGGCTGAACATATTATTCAGATTTTTACAAATCACGTGAGCTGGTTTAGGTCGAGTTTACTAATGGTAAGTAATATCCCGCATACAAGTCAGTTCACAAAACTACAAAAATCTGAAACGTTATGAAAAATTATTAGTTACTATTACCATCGTAGCCCGGTACAGCATGGCCGGATGAATGCGGTGGAGGATCGAGATTCGAACCCAACCCACTGCACGTCGATGTTATCGGCCATCCAGTCTCTGGAAATGTACGAATCTGGACATATAGTTTAAATTTTCATTGAATATTCGTCGGAAGTCCTGCTATGTAAGGATAGGCTCAAGCCCATGATTACAAGCCTCACATACCAGTTTGCCACCAGTTATCCAAAACTGCAGCGTTGAACGTTTCTTTCGTCCAAGCCTTGGTTCCTTCATCACAGTGCTCTCCGCAATGTAGAGTAACTTCAAACTAAAACGTACCGACACTGACAGTCACAAGAATACCCACGCTACTGTACTTACATGCACGTTTGCAAATTATTTAAGCTTGTCGAAGAAACAATTTGCATTTTCAACTATGAGCTGTCCAATATTTTTCAAAATGTCACATCAAAACCAGAAGCTACCTTTTGATGTCATGCTTCCGGCCAAATTTTCCTCGGGATCCTGCAGAAAAATAAAACTGGAACACAGTTTATATATATCAGCAAGATTCAGCTCCAAGCCTACCACTTGTCGAAGCGCTCGCATAGCGGTGGGAGTGGTGAACATTCCCTTAACTTTATAGCGCTCAATTAGCCTAAAATAGCTACTACCATCCGGTGTATCGGTGACCTTTCCCTATAATCCGAAATCGGTAGTGATACAACTAATAATACTATCAAGCAGTAAGAACAAATAAGCATCCTTTTACTTCGTAGATAACGGACGGGTTACCGTGCAGCAGCGGAGCGTAACAGATGTATGAATGGCCCACCACCCAGCCAAAATCACTCGCCGACCACCAAATCTCTCCCGGTTTCATTCCGTAGACATTATACATGGACCAATGTAGTGCTACCGCGTAGCCTCCTGCTGGACGTACCACGGCCTAAATCACCAAAATCCCTAGGAAAACTCTGCGAGTAACCGTTGTTCTTACCGGCGGGTTTGCTGACTGCATGCTGACAATACAAGCTTTGGAAAATACCGCGAAATTGGCCAAAAAAAGAAACAGCTTCTAACAGCAATACCACATTCCGCAGAAGGTAAGATATTAATCTGTGCCCCAGAATTCACACCTTAGGTGTTCCAGTTGTGCCGCTTGTGTAGAGAATGTACAGCGGATCCATGGCGTCGATCGGCACGCAGTCAACACTCTTCCCCGCCGCAACTGCTTCATGCCAATCGGAATCACGACCACTGGTCCACGAACTGCGAGACTGAAGAGAACTGCACTGAAGACTCTTACGACTGTGGATAAAAACTGTCCAATACAGATACACACCATTTCCGGACGCTGGAACACAACAACGTGCTTTGGCTTGTTAGTTGCTGTATTAATGGCATCGTCAACAATCTTCTTGTAGTCCACTTCACGGCCTCTTTCAATGCCATGGGACCCGCAGATCACTGCTACTGCCTATAACAGCAGAAAAAGTCTGAACACAGACTGATGTCTTTATTTGTGTATGGTTATGTGTATACTTGTACTGTAAAATCACTAAAATGTATGTATTTGAGCACCCAACCTAAAAGTCTGGAGTAAGAGGCTTTTAATGAACTTTACCCAATAATAAAGGTTAGGGTTAGTTAGCGTTGCATCAGTATTTCGTAGTAGTATTTCATGGTTCAGATGTTCAAATAAGTGAAAAATCTGGAAAAATCACGATATGCAAGTTTTCATGCTAATCCTAGTTCCCTCCAGGGCATGCTTACTAGAGTAGGGAAACAAAGTTTTTACCTTAGCATGAGAAATTCTGGTGGCCAATTCTTTGGCGGCAAAACCTCCAAAAACCACGGAATGAATTGCACCGATTCTAGCACATGCTAACATCGCCGTCACGGCTTGTGGAATCATCGGCATGTAAATTATGACGCGATCGCCCTTTTTGACTCCGAGATTCGACAAATGGGCTGCGAAAGCTTTTACCTGCACACGACGCAAGTTAATCATTCTACTAATTTTAAGTACAGTGCCGTAACTGTCGACACATTTTACAATCTTTCAAGCAGATTAACCGTAAGTAATTTTCGTCACTGCTCGTATTGGTATACCTCTCTTAAAATTTCGTCGTACGTCAGGGAACATCTTGAATTTGTTACCGGACTTTCGTGATGCAGAATGATCTCGCCTCCTCGACCCTCATCACAGTGCCGATCCAATGCATTATAGCACACATTAATTTTCCATCCGGAAAACCTGAATAGCGTCAACTTCACAGATTACTTGTACACAAGATAAATTAATTAATAATGTGCAGTTTTTCAATGGTTTTGTACTCGTTTGTTGTGTACACGTACTCGTATAATAATAATTATATAATAATCATACGAGTACGTACTCACCTTATTCACATTCATAAACAAAGTAAGTAACAACTCCAGTCTCGTAACCATATGCTGTGGTACTTTATGTAAACTTGCAATTATAATCATGTTTGCAAAATTTAGAGCGAGCACAAATGAGTAGGCCGTTTTCGAGAATTGTAAAGTAGAGTGTGCAAACAAAAAATCTAATAAAATTTGTAAAAACCGAAATGATTTCCGGTACTTTCTTATGGTTAGGTATTTGCAGCACTTGTACTTTACTACAGCGCACTGCCGATGTTCATGTCGCAACTAAGCGGCCAGAAGAGCAAACTCTGAGCGGAAAAGATTACCTGTCTCCTGATATGCAAAGCGTAATCTTTTAACTGTAAGTTTCAAACCCGCTTAACTTTGTACAAATCCCAAACAAAAATTTGCATGGCAAGCGTTGGCGGGTTACGTATAGTCGCATACCATTTAGTAAACGGAGAATCTGTGTCATCTAAAACTTTGTCCTTCTTCTCATCCCACACCAGTGCAGACGCCAGGTCTTTCCAGTATTCCTCTCGTCTGGATAGAGATTTCAGGTAAGTTTTAAGGTATACGTCTTCTTCGCTGGTCGTTGCATCACTCTTTGCAATTTCTGCATTGCGAACATTCGCTTTCACATCTGCATTTCGATGACGAACCTGGCGATAATGAGTTTCTGCGATCAGCTGTTTTCCAGCTGACTGTGAACAGAATGACAGACATAAAACAGCACGGTTAAGCTTTGTCGTCGAGGCTGGCTTTAGTGCGCGATGGAACATCAACATTTTCTAGTCCTTTTATCAACGAATACGGTGAAAAGTGACGATTTATGGTAAAATGTGACAGCTTTGCAGCCCAATGTCCAGGTTGCCGTTTACAACTCTTGAAATTATGTAGTTAGGTACAAAATATCATAATCATACACTCGCGAATGCCAACAACACCGAGAGAAACAGACCAACATCTATCTGCCTGCTTTGAGAGTCTGACGATGAATTACAATCGTAGACTTGCCAGCTGCTGTAGCTTATGGTTAGTACACATAACACATAGGCTGGTGACACAGCCACTGCACCTACCTTATTACGCAGTGAAAACAAGTACAAAATATCTGTATTTACTAGTATAGAAGTATAGTTTTATTCAGCGTGAAACTTTAACGAGTTTATAAGCCGATCGCCTCTCAGTAGGACATCTGCCTCGGCATGCATACGTACTTATTCTTCAAAATCTGCACCAAAATTTGTAAAACAAGCATCAAACAATCGCGGTCTGTATTGTACTACTGATAGTATTTGTTATTTTATTAACATATACAATTCATTTCTTTTTTCTTCTGCAGATTATTGCATAATAGCCTTAGTTTAGCAAGATTTTGGTTTTGGATAAAAACAATACTATTATCCGTAATAAATGTTTTATATGTGCTCATTACCACCATACTACTCGTATAAGAAGCCCCTCTTCTATAATTATGTGCTACCAACACCAAGTCGTGATCGGTGATAACCATAAAAGCACTAAGGTAAATTTTTAGGCTAAACTGTCGAGTGGTTTGCTTTGGGCCGATAAAAAATTTTTTTGCAACAAAATTTTTTTAAGATCGGCGGTACGAAGCAGTCAGAGGTTTTCTGTAAAAGTAAAGTACTTGTTGTATCTTTGTTTCTTGAATGATTATACAGCCTCAGCCGACTCCGGAAATAGGCGGCCTAATCCCACAGAATATTTCGTCTAATTTAGCCGATTCTGGTACTGTCCCGTGACAGAGGCAGCGTTTCCCGCAATAAAAATTTAAGTTCGTGCAGTATTCAAAATTTATTGTGAGTGGTACTGTGGTGCTAACTTGTACACGATTGGTTTACGACTTTACGGGAACTTCAGCAGGCGGCACAGCGTACTGTACCCTGGACCGATGGTTGATTTATTAAAGGTGACCACTCCGTACACACCCTTTCACTCCGCACACAACCTTTTGCACTCCCTTTCATTCCGTGCATAACCTTTTTGCGCTACCTTTCATTCCGTACACAACCTTTTAATTTTTTTAATTTTTTCACAGCAGAGTTTCTGTAATTCTGAAATAAAAAAACGCGCAATCTCGACCGTTTTTTTTATTGTGAACAGCAACGTTTTTCACCCTAATCTCCGCAAGACCTGCTCCGTAACACTTGTTTATTCAATCTTAGCTTGCTACGTGAGTTATTTGCTGACGCTGTCATACACCAGGACGGCAGGACGCCTTCGTCGGAACGGTCCCATGATGTTGCAAAAAGAAGTAATATTTTTTCGTAGTTTTGCTTTTCTGTAGTAATACTGTAATACAGGTTACAGGTATTTAAGTATAATATGTATAAATATATATAGAAGTTTGGTAGTGCACCGAGTGAATGGTAGTGCGCAAAAAGGTTGTGCACGGAATGAAAGGGAGTACAAAAGGTTGTGTGCGGAGTGAAAGGGTGTGAAAGGGTGTGTACGGAGTGATCACCTTTATTAAATGGCTAAACTTTCAGAGTATTAAGTAAATTAATTAAGTACTTTAAAGCGGGTCACCGGCACTTCTGCGAATGCACGTAGCAACATACAGGTGTATTGTACTTGACTTCCGGTATCGGTTTGAAAGCTATTATACCATGACTTCCTCCATGAGTCACTCCATGACTTCATTCATTGCACCGTCAGAATCTCGGTTTTCAGCTCCCATCAACCTTTCACGCTTACAGCACGTGGCACAATACCGTAGTACGAGTACAAGTGAACTGTATGGTGCCGTATGATGTCAGAGCGGTGATATCATTTCTGAACCACCCTTTAAACTATTAAAGTAGAAACGCCGGTATATAAATAATATAACCAAGGCATTTTGAGTTGCCTTTATTTTTGTAAATTTTACTACGGTACTGTATTTTTTCATTCTGATTTCAGTATTTTCACTGTTTTTGTGATCTGAGCTGTACCGTATAAGCCTGTGATAAACTAGGGTAGTATTAGGCGAGCGCAATAAATTAAATTAAGGATCTCAAATCTCATTGTCAGTCCAGATTTTCTGATCTGTTTTGTACTGTGATCTGTGACAGGCAAGCGCAGGGAGCTCACAGATGCCTTTATTGTACAAATAAAGTGGAGCAAATACCGCGTGATTGCGGGAGAAAACACAACAAAGCCAATGTCTGGCAGAAATCAGCAAGTCAAGTTGCTGCGAGCGAGTTCTAACGCATAATGAAATGTAGAGAATCGAATGTGCTGGCGGCAACGGCGTCACGCTGTCCAGACACAAGGGATGTGAGTGCGCAGACTGGACTCGTATCCAACGCGAGCGTATAAGCGCTGAGTCATACAGCGAGAGAGAGGAGCGAGAGAGCAAGTATGCTCAGTGAGTGCGCCCGCGGTGTATCCGCTAGGCGGAGAGTGCAGTGCAGCCACTCACGTACGTACAAGAGAGGGCGAATCAGCATGTGTGCAGTGATACGCATACGCAAAGTGGCGTATCTATCACGCAGGCTGTCGTGCCTCTAACATGCCTCTGGGCGGGAATCCGAGCTCCTGCGAGGATGCTCCGACTCAGTACCGCGCCAGCGTCGCACCTCTCCGGTCGACCCATGTGGGGTCGCCGGTACGCGTCCTCTTCCAATGGGAGTCCGGTGTCTGTTGACCGTCCCATTCTTCACTTCCAGATCCATGAGAGGCAAGCAACTCACGGCCGCAAATCTGGAAGCCGCTCGGGGTTCGTTGTTGGACCGGTTTCGCTTCTGTTGGCAGGCATCTTGCTTCTGTTGGCTCGCGGAGAAAGTAAAAAAAAAAGTGTAATGACGGTTAAACAGCGCGAAATAAAAATGTAATAAAGTTTAATCACAATTCCAGTGAGCAAAAAATAAATACAAAACAGATCTGGTTAGAGATTCTAAGTAAAATACAATTCCGTTTGTTAGAAAATGTACAAAAATACTAAAAAGAGATCTGTCCGGGGAGCTTGTTCCGACTAGGATGACGTCCACGGGGTCTTGGGTTTCCACGGGGTCTCCTGTCTAAATGCAATCCGGTGTATCAGGTCCGGGGCGTCGGTTCCCGGGTTACCCAACGTAACCGGTGAACTTGTGCGAGGTCGGGTAAGCACGGCTGACACTTACGTCCGACTCGTATCCATCCGTTCCGGAGAAGTTAAACCGAGGTCGTTTGACCAAGGTTGACCTGCTGGTGAGTTAACCAGTGGTCGAGGAATCCGGCTAAGTCCCGAATTCCAAAGTTCAAATCGGACAAAACCGTACTTGTGTCGTGTGACTTCTGTGGTCGCCAAGTGGTGATGCCGATAAAGTGTGGTCGGTTAAAACCGTTAAATCTGCTACCACGAGCCTGGTTATGACTTCCGATGCGAACTGGCTCGAAGGTCCGGTCGGAATTTCTTGTTCCTTCCATCCGACGATAGTTCACTGTTGTCACCCGACCTTCTGTCGGTTAGGATGGATATCCGACCTGAGGTCGGTCATAATGTTATCCGACCTGAGGTCGGTGATAACGTACCTCCGTGGTCGACCTCGGTAACTCGTGTTATTTAGGCCCGTGTGGGGCCATACAAGTCCCGTTAGGTCGAATTCGTCCACTTCAAGGTCGTTTCCGATTCCGTTCTTCCATTTAGTCATCCTTCACCGACCTGTTATCGGTGACTTCTGATGTCCGACCTGAGTTCGGGTATAATGTTATCCAACCCGAGGTCGGTGGTAATGTTGTACGGCCTGAGGTCGGTTACCACGTAACTGGTCCGGTCGAAGGTCGTACTTCGGTTAATCCGCTGATGTTCCAAGCGGTTCCGAACGATCCGGTGTTCTTAACCGACTTCTGTGGTCGGTTAAACCGGTTATCCGACCTGAGGTCGGTGACACTGTTATGTCACCCAAGGTCGATAATAATGTTATACGACCCGAGGTCGGTTATCCCGTTTCGCAGGTCGACCCAGGTCGATTTCATCCATCCGGAAGTCGTTTTCCGTGGACATCTTCAATGGTGTCTCCATTCACCGACCTGTTGTCGGTTACTTCACATATCTGACCCGAGATCGGGTACAATGTTATCCGACCTGAGGTCGGTGAGTCCATGGTTCCGTGTCCAACCGAGGTGAGTTACGGTATGCAAGCTCGAAGTGGAGCCATACAAGCCCGTTTCGGTCGAATCATGCTCCTAGCCGACCTGTTGTCGGTAACTTCACTTTATCCGACCTGAGGTTGGGTGTAATGTTATCCAACCCGAGGTCGGTGATTCTTCATCCAGGTCGATTCCGTCCGTTAAGAGGTCGTTTTAAGCCTCTGGGCTTCCATCCGGGCTCCGCAGAGTCGTTCTGGAGCAGTATCCGGTTCGTGCCTCTAACATGCCCTGGTTCGGGTTCGTGACTTTGCCTCTGGACGGTCGGAGTTCCGTCGAGTTTGGCGGTTCCATGGCGTCTGTTGGCCATTCAGCATGCAAACTGAGGTAGAATCAGATCTTCACTTCCCTGGTTGGGGTTTGTTCATTCCGTTCCACGAACCTGTGACGCCTTGCCACTTCTGTTGGGGGAAGACATCACACGTCCGTAGGGGTCTGTATGGGGGTGCAGGCCGTGTGTTCTAACACGGTTTGCCTAGGATGTTCCATTTGAGACATGGGGAAGCAAGTCGCGGCGGAGTCGTTGGTACGCCGGTAGCCAAATCACCGTCGCTGTTCCTCTTCAGGGAATGGCAGCACGTTCGAGACGCGCGTAGTCATGGTCACCGGTGAATCGGTTGGTTTATCCGATATCCTCCGGGGGAGACTGCGGTTGGACTCCGGGTACAGGTTCCTAGTTGAGAGCCTGTAGGTCTGGGTTCAAACAGAGAATCCGTCCAGACTAAGATCGTGGTTAGATACCGCGGTCTGCGGTCAACATTACCGACTTCTGTGGTCAGTAGAGGTTGCCGTAAGGCTATCCGGCTTGTGACTTCCGTATGCTTTCATCAGGTCGACGTCAGTTGGTCGAGTGGTGACATTTCTGAGGTCGGCTAC